ACACGTTCTCCAGCATACATTCTGGAGAACGTACCATTGTTGGGTGACACTCGGGCCCAGTTGATGGCGAGTGTCCATCAAGTCCGAGCATGGATTGGATCAGCAGTACTGTTGGATGCTGCGAGGGTTGGATCACGAGCGCATCGTGCACGTTTGTGGTGGACCAACCTTTTGCCACGTGAGATATTGCGTCATGCTTATGATTCGGTGAAGCGTGATACTACACTCACCGTTGACAGTATCTTGGATGTTTCCCGGCACTCTCAAGTAGTGAGAGTTGCTGACAGGTCACCTATGGCATTGGTGAACCGCGTAGGTCAGCCTCGGATGGCTTTACCTACATTTGTCAGTTATCCGGCATCACATGCATATCGTGATGGGGGACCTGGACTACTATGGGACAGTACCCTACATCAGTTGGTGGAGCCCAACGCTGATGAGAGAGAGCGTGCGATGGGGTTTCTTACTGGTGTGACCGCGGCTTCTTCAGTTTCAGAGGCGTCGCGTCGTCAGGTTTTGGGTCAGGCTATGGACCTGAACTGCTTGACGTGGATTGTGAGCTTGGGTTTGGCCGAGCAACGCCGTTTGCGCGCAGATTTGGTGGTTGTAACACCACTTATTAGCTCATTGCCTACCGGGACGGTAGTAGCAATGGCTGGGGGCGACAGGCGAGATATTCGTTATCCTTGGAGTTTATGGGACGTGACGAAAGGACTTGCCAGAGTTGCAGCCCATGCAGTTGGAGAGGATTCTCACGTGGAGGTGGCTACGAAGGAGGGTACAGAGAACCCTTCTTTGCAGTGTGTAGCGTAGCAACCATTGACAGTGTCGTCTCCCTCTAGTGTGCCTATGGAGGAGGAATGGGAGCCATTGATTGGTTCCCAGATCACAGGAAGAGAGAGGCGACGATTGACACAATTCCTACGAGACTATAGGAGTTGTTTTGCTTTCAGTATGAAGGAGTTGGGTGCGTTGATTGGACCCGGTATACGGATAGAATTGGCTAGTGATACGCCAATCTTCCGTCGTCCTTATCGGTACAGTGAGATGGAGAGAGATTTGATTCGGAGTAGGACGTTGGACCTACTAGAGGCTGGACTAGTGGAGTTATCGCATGGTGAGTATGCGTCAGCCACTGTCATGCCGGTGAAGAAGGATGTACATGGCAACTACACGGATAGGCGCATGTGTGGAGACTACCGTCCTATCAATCGGCAGACGAAGTCCGATAAGTATGCCATGCCTACACCTGAGGAGATCTTCGATGTGGTGGGACATGCAAGGATTTTTAGTACTTTGGATCTTCGGGCAGGATACCATCAGTTGCCAATTCGGGAGGAGGACAAAACCAAGACAGCGTTTTGGGGCGTCAACTCCCACGGCAAGGATTGTTTGTATCAGTGGCGATTCTTACCCTTTGGGTTGAAGAATGCACCTGCCGAGTTTCAGAGGGTTATGGACAGAATCCTGGCGGGGCTGGATTTTGTCAGATGTTACATTGATGATATCTTGGTGTTTAGTGACACTGTGGAGCAACACCAGATGCACTTGCAGATTGTGTTTGAGCGATTGAGGGCTCATGGTTTGAGGTTACATCCTGGGAAGTGTAAGTTCTTCCAGGAGAAGGTTGAGTACTTGGGTCATGTGATATACCCAGGTGGTTTAGGAGTTCAGCAAGCAAAGGTGGAGGCTATTGCACGCATCCCTCGTCCCACGGATGTGAGTAGAGTTCGTGCATTTATGGGTTTAGCGAACTACTATCGGAGGTATGTGAAGGGGTTCAGTGCTATAGCCAAGCCTTTGAACCAGTTGCTGAAGTCAGATCAGGAGTGGCAATGGGGAGATGAGCAGGAGAGAGCTTTTGTTGAGCTCAAGGCCAGGTTGGTGGCCGCTCCCATCTTGAGGAGACCTATCAGAGGTCGTCCATACCAATTGCACACTGATTGGAGTATGTTGGGACTTGGAGCGGTGTTGACGCAGCGTGATGATGAGGGCAAGGAGTTTGTGGTTGCGTACGCTAGTCGTTCGAACAATGCAGCGGAGTCGCGGTATAGTTCGTACGAGGGAGAGTGCTTGGCAGCGGTGTGGGCTGTGGCGCACTTCAGGTGTTACTTGTTTGGTACGCAGTTCACCCTTGTTACTGATCATCAACCGCTCAAGTGGTTGATGGAGTCCGACAAGCTTACAGGGAAGCTTGCACGGTGGGCTCTCATCTTACAGGAGTACGACTTTCAGGTGGTGCATAGACCTGGAGTTGCGAACCTAGATGCCGATGGTTTGAGTCGAAACCCATGCACTAGCCAGGAGGATGACACTGGAGCTAGATGGCATGGTGAGGTTGACGAGGAGATGGTGCCTGGTTGGCATGCATCTGCCTTCATGTGTTGGTTACGTGGGAACTCCAGCAGAGAGGATCGTCTGACATCTTACTCTAGTCAGAGAGTAGATGGTCGATCTCCAGATCCTGAGGTTGAGGATGGTGGTGTGGATCAGCGTGATGTACACGATGATGCATTGGTGTTGGAGTTCCTACGGACCAGCATGGTGCCAGGCACAGTGGGTGCCAAGGAGCGAGATCGTGTTCTCCAACGGGCCAAGAGGTACCGATTGGAGGGATCACATGTTCTCCGAGTATGGGAGGACAGTAGGGTACGAGTAGTACCACATCCAGCCCAGAGAGCACGCATTGTGAGGCATGCTCATGAGGAGTTGGGACATTTTGGAGTGAAGCGTACATACAGCTTACTCCTTGGTCAGTATTGGTGGCGTGGTATGCATACTCAGGTACAGCAGTTGGTATCACGTTGCATGGTTTGTGATCGAGTGAGGGCATCATTCAATGCCCCGACACCAGTGTTACATCCATTACCCATCATGGGGTTGGGTTACCGTTGGAGTTTGGACTTTGCTGGACCACTACCTTTGACTGTACGACATCATCGGTATGTGTTGGTGATGGTGGAGCATTTCTCCAAGTGGATTGAGTTGGTGGCATTACCTGACAAGGCAAGTGAGGGAGTAGCGTATGCTTTTCTTGACAGAGTGCTTAGTCACTATGGTGCACCAGCTGAGGTGTTGACCGATCAGGGAACGGAGTTTCAGGGTGAGTTTCAGGTCTTGTGCGACAAGGCACTGATTGATCATCGGACCACGTCGCGAGATCATCCAGAGGCGGATGGTTTAGCTGAACGTGTTGTACAGACGGTGAAGAGAGCGTTGCGCAAGTATGGCCTGCACAAAGGTCATCTTGGGGACTGGGATATCCAGTTACCGTGGTTGGCCATGGGATATCGGTTCAGTCGGCAGGCATCCTTGGCTTCCTTCTCACCATATTTTCTATTGTACGGCCGAGATCCAGACTTGCCAACATCGATTCGTCGTGAGTCTAGCGAGGTGGTGAACCTTGATGACCCGAATATGTGGGTGAGAGTATGTTCTCAACGTGCAGAGCTCTTTCGAAGAGTTATGCCTGCAGCGTTTGAGAATCTTGCGATTGCTCAACATAGAGATTCGTTGCGGTATGCAACCATTCGGGGAGGAGGTTATCGACCATCAATTCGTAGATTCCATGTGGGAGACTACGTCTATCTACAGCAGACTGCACCGACGACATTGGATGTGACGGCGGGACGCACCATCTTGCGGGTGCAGGAGGTGTTACCTTCTGGAGTTCTCCTGTTGGAGGGTCGTGACGGCGTTGTTTGGAAGGATCATGTGCGCAATTGTGCGCCATGCCACCTCCCAAACGTAGATGGCACTATGGACCCAAGCTTAGCGATAGTACGTGCTAGCTTGAGGTGCATGCTGTGTGGGTTGGCTGGTCAGGCGGCCCGTATGTTGGTGTGTGATAGGTGCTCTAGGGGATGGCACATGTCGTGCCTAACTCCGCCTATCGATGTTATTCCGGCTGGACGATGGGTTTGTCCTCGATGTACTTCATAGGGGTAGATGACTTGATCTTCACATGTTATGAATTGCAGATAGGCGACTAACGATGGGGCGACATAGCACCCGGCCTACTGGTTCGCGCACCCACGAAGGTGTATAGCATGTAGTTGTAGATGGGGCTACCTGGGAGTCAGAGGGACCTTACCGCCAGCTAGGGGGGCGAGTTGTGACATTTGATTGTGTACTCTCTCGCGCCTTATATGTGTGTATGTGTGTGCGTATGTGTATGTGAGTAGCATGTCAGCGATGTAGAGTGTATGGCGATATGTATTCGCACGACAGCTGTCATGTAGTTACGAGTCGGCTCACGAAGTTCAGACACTTACTATATTTAGCCGTAAAGTTAGGGTTCCGGCCAGGAGGGGTATAGAGTCGTGGACGGCTCGAAGAACGTTAGTTCTTCGAGTCGAGCCTGGAAGCGTTGGGAGCGTAGAGTGACTTTCCCCTTTGCGTCGACCTGGATTCTCCGAGTGTGGAGTGGGTTGGGCTTGACTCATGTTTGTGACGGTGACGGTTTGTTGCCAGTAGGGTAATTGACCGACGGGAATTCCAGTGGGGAATCTCCCGTTTATTTCTCCCGTTTATATGTGTGTATGTGTGTGCGTATGTGTATGTGAGTAGCATGTCAGCGATGTAGAGTGTATGGCGATATGTATTCGCACGACAAAGATAGCAAATGTGTTTGATGTGAAGAGACCATCGAGCCTATAATGCATCAAACCAAGCCGGTTAAAGTAACCTCCCACTACGCAACCGTATAGGTGAGCACTTTATCAATAGGTGAGCACGATTTACAGGGATCAACATTTTCAACCAATTCATTATGAATTTCAGGGATTTTAACATTTTCAAAAATTTCACTATAAAATTCATATTCGAGACTAGACTACTGCCCCATTCATTTCGTTCCAATTATCTAGTCTTTTGTTTCTTCGTATCATGACATATCTAGTGCAAAAATGATGATATGACACTCGGGGAAAATGGGAGTATCATATGGTGCATGATACTCCCATTTATTATTAAATGGGGAGGGAGGTATTAAGGGGGAAGGAAGCGCTTTAAAAATAGGCAAAAAACCAAGAAAAATAATGGCGCGATGTTAAGATCCAATAAATCTTTGGCACTCGTGACCAGAGGGGTTGAGAAAATTGTCCACTAATTGCTAAAGACATCATTAATTTCATACTCACGCACTAAATTTGCTCACAGTATTTTACTTTCTCAATTTTGAAATGATGTCACATAGTTCAAGCACTTGGTATTCAATTTCTTTGACATAAGAGCTCTACACAAATGTTCTGGAAATGAAAATGTTAAGTACGCATCTCCCGGTTAAGTACGCATAGATCTTTAGGGTTCAAAGTGCGTACTTGAGTGGAAGACTACTATACATGTTCTAGCCTCAACCTCCAGATCTTGCTATGAGACTCTCTAAAATCATCAAATTATTATCTTGACTTTTTTGGAATTTTTGAGCCGAACAATTTGTTTATAAAGTGACTCAAATTCCTTAAATACAACGTTGTTTATTAAATCCAAATCTAAATCTTGAGAATCAAGAAATTCATCATCATTTTTTACTCTATCTTCAAATATTTCTTCATATGTCAAAATTTCAATGGTATATATTTCATTGTTTTCATCATCAACATAAACAAATTTTAATATTGTTCTTATCCAACTTTTCAAAGCTACAATAGCTTGTGTAACTTCGGTCACTAAATACTAATCGGCTTCCACTATCATTATTTTGTCTTAACAAATGCAGATTTCATAGAGCTTGATGACACTAATTGCCAAATATCTTTGAAATAATTCCCAGCGTCAAACAAATGAGTTTGAATCTCGTATGCAACACCACGTTTGAATCTCTGTTCCTTAATGTAACATTATGGTTTAGAGAGAATTTCATTCAAAAATGAAATATAAGTTTTGAAGATTATAAACATTGAATGTTTCTACTCTTCCTTATAAAATATTTCAAACTTATATACAAAAATAATGTATTCTTTCCATCATGTGTAACACTGAGATGGTGGAAAGATATCAACAATGTATCTACTCTCTTTATATAGATCTTATCAACAAGTACAATAAAATAAAATCTTGATCCCATCATTCATTTCACTCCTAGTGGATGAATGATATTGTAAAATTAACCAGCATACGAATAGTTGACGTGACTTTTTCCACTAACACATTCAAATTTATACCTAACAAACACATAGATCACTTATGTTACGTTATCATCTAACACATTTATTTTCTATCTACCAAAGACACTGATCAATGACATGGAAATTATGACTAGTGTAGTCTAAAATAATTATAACTTAATCTTGAATAACCTTTACTTTAGTTTTAACTGGTTGAAAATGGTTAAACCATACTCTTCATTTCTAGTGTATTGATGACATGGCAGATATATCTAATGAGTACTATTGCTAACATGGCACTATAAATATTCTAATATCATCTAATCTACTCAATATTGAATAAATTTCATTTTAACTTCAACTAACTGAAGATTGTTACACTATGTTCTCAATTAAAGTCGTGTCTCCTCATCCAATTCACAGAATTAAAAAATTTCCTTAAAATTAAGATATTTAGATCTCTTCTTTAGAATTGCGGTTATGTTTCTTGCGTGCAATCTACAAAAAATAAAATGATATTAACATTTTTGCGTTCCAAAGACTCAAAGTGTCAAGAACATTGTCTATTAGCAAAAAAAAAGTTGTCATGTTTTACTTTTAGAATTCTAAAAAATCACTTTGTTGAATCACTTTCAACATGTTTGAACATTCATCCAAGCTTTCACTTGATTGATATATGGAATATGTCATTGGTGATACTTAATACAAGTTGGTGATTGTGGTTTACCAATCAACGGGCAAGGTATTTTGTGAGTTTCCACAACGTTTAACTATATGATAAGCAAAATTTGATACTTGGATTTTTTTTACTTCTAATTGTTGATAGGTCGTCATATGACATAATATTACTTCATCTTGGTAGTAGGAAAAAGAAATAAGCATATCTCGTACATATTATAAACGTTTTGAGTATCATATTGGACTATGATCATGAATAAATCTTCTAAAGTTGTGAACAATAAAATATCAAATTTGTTGATGTCAATTCCTTATCTATGAAGTTGCGTTTTTTAAACCCTTGACACACTCTCAATCAACTTAACCGTTGTCAAGATGTATTGAAATCAATTTTTTGAATTAATAAACTTGATGCAAACATTTTTGCTTTGGCAATGGCAAAATATGACTGAACTCTAAGATTGGCACAATGCATGCTATGAGCTCATGATTCCCTCAAGTAACTGGTGAATAAACCAGACCTTTCAAGACATATTGCTAGGTGGATCTTGCTGTTGCAGGAGTTCAACTATGAAGTTGTGGTTAAACCTGGAAAAGCCAACGCCAACGCAGATTACTTATCTCAATTACGAGGACAGAAAACCATCTTGAGTATATCTTCACCCTTTTCGAATGAATCCTTTGAAGAGACAGAAGTCTTTCATATTTCCAAAGTAGATGGATTCGACTATGCAGATGTGATTCAATTCTTGACCCAGCAGAAGTATCCAGACGGATTCACTCGAGAAGAAAAGATGGTATTCTAATACAAGGTTGCACCATTCACCTTGATCATGGGAGTTCTTTTCCGGATGGGACCGGATATCAAGTACGGCGGTGCCTAGAAAAAAATGAAAAAAAGCAAGTCATGACAGCTCTCCATTCCGGTCTGTCAGGCGGACACTTTGCATCTGTCACCACCATCAATCGGATCAAATCTGCCGGATACTGGTGGCCGCATATCATCCGAGGTGTGAAGGATTTTGTGATAAAGTGCGACCAATGCCAACGAACAGGTGCACTCTCCTTCTGAAATCATTGGCCACTGACCCCTATCATACCTCTTGCTCCATTTGAAAAGTGGGGCATCGATTTTATCGGACCAATCAACCCGGTCATAGTTTGAAAGCGGAGCTACATTACTTTGGCAACAAATTACGCTACAAGATAGGTTGAAGCACGATGCATAGTCAAGAACGATGTCGCGGCCGCCGCTACTTTTCTGTTTGAAGAGATAATGATGCGGTTTGTGCATCAGCTGGAGTTGGTGAGCGATCGAGGAAAGCATTTTTTTCATGATGTTATCATAAACATCACAGAACGCTATCTGATCAAATACTGAAAATCGCCAACCTATAATTCGAAGGCCAACGGACTGACGGAACGAGCGAACGGAATAGTGGGCAAAATTTTCAACAAGATGATCTTTGCACACAAGACAAATTGGGATCAGAAGTTACCATTGGCGGTTCATGCCTACAACACCAGCGAAAAGAAAACCACTGGTAAGAGTCCTTTCTTCCTTGTGTTCTGACAGACAGCTGTACCCGGAGTAGAATTAGAGGTAGAGACCCTTAGGGTGATCGGCGCTCGGAACGGAGATCGGATCGAAGATCCAAGGTACCGGATGATTGCACTGCAGTATCCGGAAGAAATTCGAAGAAATGCCCTCCAACACACTATTGACATACAAGCAAACGGAAGTAGTATTTTGACGAGAAGATTCCTTAAAGCAACAAAGTGGAAGAAGGAGGAATGGTGCTACTCTACGACAACCGGCATCAGAAGTTTCTAGGAAAATTGCACACAAGATGGATGGGATCTTATCGAGTAACAAGGATCTTTCAAAATGGATCCTTACAGCTTGAAGATCTGGAGGGTAATTGGTTAGAGACTAGAGTCAACGGTTGTAAAATCAAACTCTATCGCACGGAATCTTCCCCTGAAACGGAAGGTAGCATCGGTTTAAAAGGAGGAGACAACGAAGAGTAAGCAAACATGAGGCAAAGCGTTCGCAGGGACTCTCACGTTTGAAAATGGGGTAATGTGAGAATCTTCAAAGACTAAAATTTATGGATTAGCCTAAAACTGAAACTAAGAGTTCTAGTAGTTTTCATTTTTTTAGTTAAGGAGTTAAAAGTATGCTAGAAATGATTCGCTTGGTGAGTTAGACAAAACCGGATCAGTAGTAGTAGTTAAAAGTGTTAAGGATCTTTCACCTCTTCGGTTTCAAAAAGTCAACCGAGAGAAGTCAGCCACGAAGTCAGGGACAAGGATAAGAAAATGGAGTCAAAGCCGACAATCAACTAGGTGGTACAGATGTGATTTTTGGATTAACTCGAGTAAAAGTAGGATCTGAGATACTGATTTCTTGCGGGAATAGGATTGGAAAAGGTTTAGAGTTAGGGTGTTTTTTTCGTGGGCTTTCGGCGCCGTCGCTTTTGTGTGGTCTCTGCTTGCGGGTACTGTCGGGTCTTCATTCTTATATGTTTTCTTCCTATATTCCTTATCAGTTTACAATGTCGTGTTTTTCTACGCTGCTGTACCTTTGGCTTCCTGTTTGAGTGTTGTCAATCTGAGAGAAGTGAGACTCCATTGCATACTAGATGTGAAGGTGATGAAAGTTGTAAGGCAAGACCCGGATTGATCTAGACTTCGAGATTGAGCTGTGGATTTGTTGGTGTGTTGTGGAAGTTGAAGTGTCATTTTTTGGTTCTCTAATACTCACAGGGTAACACCATCCGTAAGGTTATAGCCTATTAAGGGATACTCAGATTTAGCTCACTTAAACTTGTGAAGAATTTTTGTCTACAGTGAGACAAATCACATTCAGAAGTGGAACTTGTCGTCTAGGGTTCGCCAAAACCTAGCTCTCACGGACCGGATTGGTTTGTCGTTGTAGCCTCACGCATTTGAAAGTGCTCACTTTGGTGACTTGCTAGCCAAAATATTCTAAGTTAGTTGTGAAGTGATCTCTAACCGATCTACGTTGGGGTTTTTGTCATCTAAAAGAGAGAAGGAAATAGAATGATTATGAGCAGTTTCTGACCTTACACTAATGAGTCCTCGGAACGATACTCAAAGTCACACGGATAGGACGAATATAGGCTTGTTTTCTTCTCCACGAGAAGATAAACATTACTCGTCAGTTTTCTTGAAAATTGGAACTTTGACAAATTTCTTAGACAATGTAGTTTAACCATGATAGTTGTCTAATATAAACACTCAATCCTTGCTTGTTTGCTACTCGACTACAATGACCCGCACTAACTAATGTTCACAGTAAAGCAATTATGAAAGATAACAAAATTGATTTGGTTGTGCATTTTTGCTACCACCATTTGCACACGTGCCAACAACAAATTTCAAATGTAAAAATTAACTTACCATCATTTGCATAACCAATGCAACAGACATACATGCTACTAACAACTTACAACAAGCAAATGAACCTATGTACTCTAAAATCTTCATATTATCCTATAGATTCGATTCAAACAATAAACTTCAATGAACCAAAATCAAAATTACATGTGATAGCAATGCGACATACATAAAGACACTTATGTTTAGTTAGCAAATACATTTATTTAGTTGGCAAAAATACCTATTATTCTTAATTACACACCTTTCGGCTAAGTAAGTTAAATCTTCTTATGATCAATTTGCATATTTAACTATGAAATTATTGTAAATATCATATGGCATCTTATATATGACAAACAATTTATTACTAACTTTGAAGTATAATAAATCTTATTTCTTGTTATTAAATAAATAACATTAACTAGTATTATATTTAGAGTAATGACAATCCGTTATCCAAAAGAAATTCAATGAAAAGTACATGTGTTATTATTTTGAGCTTAAAGCATGTAAATGTGTAAAATGAACAAACTTTTGTTTGTAAGATAAATAATACACATTTTTTTTATTACATGGTCATAATCTGAATAGCATGTATAATCATGAATGCTGTGGGTGAAAATAGTTAAGTACTAATGGTTATAATGTGATCTAGTTACAAATTTGAAGTAAAATGTTGGACTTTGTTAGAATGGTATAATTTTCAATGCTAAAGATGATAATTTTCAGTATAAGATATGTGTGTGTATTTTTTATTTTTTTATAGTCAGTGATATATTTTAAAATACATCATCAATTATATTTAAATTATGTACTTAAAATATATTATATGAATTATCTTTCAAGACTCACACAATTAGCATTACATTATTTCTTAAAAATTATATGAAAAATATAAATCATTTGTGTTGAATAGAATATACAACTTCAAAATGATTATATTGTAAGAAAAAACAATTTTTTCTACATAAGAGCAAATGTATTGAATATGAAACAAAATTGATGTAATTCAAATAATTCCCAAAAAGATTATATCTATCATAAAGACACTTTGTGATAGTTTTTTTCAAAAATTAACATGGTATAATATCAAATGGCGTTATATTTTGAAAAGAAAGTAAAATTTAATGTAATGCAATTTCTATTGCAAATTGAAGATTTTATGAATTGACCAAGATCAGATAATATCATTAAATGTATCATTTATATTTTTTGTCTTACTTCAAAAATTTATATATATAAAATATCATCAAAAAATTTGTATTTTTTAGTATATATATATAATTTTAAATTATAGAAAAAAAATTAGTATATCTTGTAACATACATAATTTATCTGAAAGTTTCATCTCGAATATATTAGTCACAATTTTCAATCAAATAATTATATTCTTGCAAGCACACAAATGATAAATATAAATTTAAACAAAAATTTGAACAAGCCATTATTTATATATTGATATTTTTAATTTTTATATAATTTTGATGTTTTGAGATTGAGAAATAAAAAATCTATATTATATCTATGTTATACATTTATTAATATTTCAACGACGGTAGGATATAAAATTTCAAATTTGTATGAATTCAAAGATTTAAATAGAATTAATATTTTTGTATAATGCAAATTGTATCATCTACTTGAAATGTTGAAATGTCATATTTTCAACTATCTATGCTACTACAAACTTTGTTGGAGTTAAAGTTGCTCATTTTCATCCATGTATAAATTTTCTATATTATTTTGTCAAACCAGATATAGAATTTGTTTTTAAATAAAAATGTAATTTTGTTTACCATTTGAACAAAATATATTCAATTTTGTGTTGATTTTACCTTTACCAATCAGTTTTTATCAATTCTTACACTATTTAATTTATTCTACGTATAAAACATATATCAATGATAAGAATGCTTGGATATGAAATTGAGCAAGAAGAGAATGAAAATTTTCTTCGAATATCAATTCCTTAAACTATTAAGGATTAAGAATTTAAGTATATTGATTTTTATTGAAAGCTAGTTGCATCCAAAGTTTTGTAGCAACAACATTTGACTAGTATGGGTGCAAGAATTAAAAAATGTATACTTATTTTTGATAATTGTAGCCATCATATATTGAATATTCATTTTTTGCTTGACTTTTATATCGTTTTTATTATCTTATAGTTTACTTTGAATTTTTTTAAAGTAAAGTTTTGATCCATGTTATGTATTTGTGTAAGTATGATCATAAAACCGGATATTTTTCAAATTGCATGAATATTGAAATACTTGCTGAACTTTTAGATTTTTTAGCTTGTGTACTGATTTGATTATATGTAGGTCAATGTCATTAGTTTATAATATATCTAAATTAACTTCAATCTTGAACTTTTGACTGAGCTAATTGATTAATATGAACATATTTGGGTAATGCTGATCATTAATTTTTCATTTCAAGTATGTGAAATTAAAAAATTGATTAAACGGTTTGTCGGATATTTTATTTGAAAATTGTAAAACTTCAGAACATGTTACTAAACGTTGAGAGCTGCGCACGTTTAATCGTAAAGCGCTCTGACTCCGGTGGAACAACTTTGCTTTGAGCTCCTCCAGGTGAGTACACACAAGTTGAGCTCAATCCACTACAAAGAGACTACTTACGTGCAGTATCTTTACTCCCAAAGCTATCGAAACTAACTCGTTGTCGACCCTAAAACCTAGGAGAACAAATGCCCTACTTTAACGTCTAAATTTAGTAAGAAACTAAATTACATGACAAGGATTTCACACTCCAAAGCTTCTAATTGAATGTCTGCTAGCAGATTGATAATTACTTTTTCATAGATAGATGTTTAGCTAAGAAATGACATAGAGGCGCAAAAATGTTCACAAACTGAAAACCATCAATTGAACATGCAAAACAAATAGCTCGAAGAATGTTGGGCTAAAGACAACATGTGAAGCTTAATAAGAGATAAATAAATATATCACAGAGGATGAGGGTTAGTCTAACTTATCCCAAGCATAGTTTATGGTGTTCATAGTAAACGATTATTCTCTTCACTTGAAATTTTGATATTAATCCAACTTACTTCAGACCAGATAATTTAAGTCAAGCTGATGAGTAGCATGTCGAGAGAAGGAGAGAGGTAGAGGTAGAGTTGAGGAAGAATGCGAAAGAGCACACTGCAGAAGTTTATTGCACGCTCAGAGCAACATTCTTTGTCTCCAGTTCCTCTCCTACGGTTGCCAGCGGGGAGATCATCATGAGGGAGAAGAAAGGTCAACGTACTTACCCGGATCTGATTTGTTTGTGCTGCCTGATTAAAGCGGTAATCGCAATTAGGAAGGGTCAAGTGGGCCCAGCCTCCGAGAGATTCACACAAGTCAATAGAATTTCGAACGTCGGAGGAAAGGCAAGGCAAGGCAAGGCAAGGCTAGGCTGCCCTGGCCTGCTCGGCTTTTGGCTCTCGAAAGTGAATCACGCCCTCTACATCTGCGACATATTCTGTTCTGTTGACAAGTTTGCTCGATTTGTGGTTGTAGATTAGAAGATTGATTGATAGAGAGTCCACCGTAGGCTGGAGAAGAGAAAGCGGCGTTGTTGAATAATGGAAATCGACCTCTGTTTCAGAATTGCCCTCTTGGTGCTGCTTGCAAGTTGCGTTGCAGGTCCAGTGCAAGGAATACGTTTCGTCCTCGATAGGAAGGAGTGTTTCAGTCATGAAGTTCACTGGGAGCATGATAACGTCGACGTTTCATTTGTTGTCATCAAGGCTGATAATCCCTGGTCCTTCAATCGTCTGGGCGTCGATCTCACGGTATTTGCCGGCTTGAATACTGTGTCAATGTTTTGTAATATCCCGTATGTGAAAATCTAGGGTACGATCTACGTCAGAGAGAGAGAGAGAGAGAGAGAGAGAGAGAGAGAGAGAGAGAGAGAGAGAGAGAGAGAGAGAGAGAGAGAGTTCTCCTGTAGTTTATTTGTGTTGGAAAAGTGTTGACTGGTTTTATTTATATTCAGCAGTGCTTGTGAATCAATATAGACAACTGTTGTAGACGAATCGGTCGACATCAAATTAGTTTTTTGCAATTTTTAGCTCTAGATTGGTGACGCGAGGCCTACCACTAGATATATCCATGTTTGTGAAATGTCTTCTTACTCATGTTTTTGCTGACAACCTCAAGGAGCGCTGTGTGGATCAGATAAATTTCACTTTTTCGCTTTTTACCAGGATTAAACAGTTTGATAGCTATCTAGTTTCATCCTTTTCGTTCCAGTCTCGAACTAAATTGGACCTTATAGTCATTCTCTTGTCCATTAAATTATCAGTTGTTCTAAGGTGTCTTGTGCTAATGTTAGCTCGTGACGTGATTTCATCAATTACCAACGAAGCATTTAGATATGCAAATGTAACAGGTATAGTTGTCTTGTATCCCCATAAGCCGGAATCTTTACTTGCAAAGGGGAGGAGTGTCAGGGGTGAGGTAAGGGGCATCTATGACTAGAAAGATATGAAAGGTATGGCATTGCTTCTGGAGTTTCCTGAGAGGTGTTCTGGTACAAACGCCGATTGTGGAATGAGAAATTTCAGCCGAAGATGATACAAATACTGTTGGAAATTCTGTGTAGGTAGAGGCACCAAATGGGAGACTTTTGTACAATGGTCATCAAAAGGAGGATGATAAATTTGAATTCGAGGCCCCTGTCAGAGGATTTTACAGATTCTGCTTCAGCAACATTTCCCCTATGCATGAGACGATTGACTTTGATGTGCACATTGGGCACATAACTTCTCGAGAAGAGCTTGCCAAACCTGGTATTTTATCATCCATGAATTTTGTTTTGGTAATTTTTTGGAGTTTTTAGATAGAGTTTATGTGTTCTTTCTTTAGTGGCTGCATGGCAGATGGACAGAAGAGATGCAGTGCTCGTCGTTTGTTGTTTAGTTTATTGGTGAGCTTTTATTGACGTACAAATTTGATAATATGAAGAATTTTTGAAACTTTTTGTGTATTCAAATAGCGGCTGGCTAGTTTTCATGAGAGTATGACTATCAATTTTTGGGCTTACTCATGTATAACATTCCTGTAGCGTGGATGTGAAATTAGTGGCCATTTATGAATTATGTGTTGCATTGTGGTTGTCTGTTCAGAGGATTTCGATCCTCTGTTGCATCAAATTTCTGTCATCGAGGAAGCTTTATATGGTGTTAGATTCGAACAACATTGGCTCCAAGCACAGACCGATCATCAGGCTATAAGTAAGTCTTGAAACTCATATGTTGGAATAGTTACATTTTCTTAAGTCTTGAAATTCAAATATTGGTGCTTGTACATTTCCCTATGTTATTGGAAATACTGTTTTCTTGATGAACTTGCCATCCAAATTTTAAGAGCTTGCACATATCGCTGACTGGCATTATTATTAACCCTCGTGTATGGGTAAATCTTTTTATGCAGTGAACGAGGCAATGAGCAGAAGAGTGATATACAAGGCTTTACTAGAATCAGCAGCACTTGTTGCGTGCAGTTTCTTACAAGTTTTTCTTCTGCAGCGCCTTTTTGAGAGGAAACTTGGCAAAGGTTCACGAGTGTAGATCTTCAACAGCTTCCACAGTGTGGATAACTTGCCCAAGGAGAGAAAATTTTGCAGGACGTAGATGTAAACATGACAACATTTGATGTTGTCTGCACTAACCTCACCCTTTAGCATGCATAAATAATGCACACAAGATTTGATTTCTCTTGAAATTTCACAAGAGCATATCAATATTCAACTAGCTCAGCTACACAAAGAAGGAGCCGGGTTACCAGTGTGACTTATGTCTCCATCCTACCGAAGTCACGAAAGCGAGAATCAGAAAGCAAATTCGGTGATATTGTTTTCCCTCCATGACCTTTGTAAGCCCTACATGCTTTTCGTTCCAAGCGTGGAGGTATCGCCAACTTTTGGGTTGAATGGCAGATAGAGTTTCAAGAGGTGCGTGAGATAGCCCTGTTCGATATTCTGCTTGATTACCTGAACGGTAAATGAGATATGCAGCATTGATGGATGTATCGAGACGAAAACAGTCTATACAATACCTTGCAAAATGTTCTTCTAGACAAAATGAAGGAGTTCATGAAGAAAGCCGCGAGGTTGAATGCTTCAACAAGCTGTGCTATCGTCGAACTTCACTGTAACCCACAGGAAACGCAGTAGCCAGTGTCCAGGAGGAGCAACTCCACCAAATATCTCAGGCAGAAAATCGTAGTACTCAACATTTGGTCACCGAGAGCTCGTCGTCGACTGGGTTCGATTCGGTGGGCCGCAAAGTATGTTGTTGAAGCTGATGAATTTTATCTGCCTGTTATCACCTTTTTGCTTGTTTCACACCGCGAAGATACACTGCTGCTGTCCGAGCGGGGTTGGAAGATGCCACTGTGCCGTTTTGGGCAGGGGTAGGAAAATTCTGGCCATTGCCACCTTGACCGATCCGGGTAGGTGCTAAATCGGTTTTTGGATTTCTTGTCTGGGACTGGTGTTTGTGTTTGATGTTTTATCCCGAGCCCTTGACAGACCATTGGGTGATATGCATAGCATAAATTTGTGATGACAGCAGTTGTACCCACTTATGTTTTGCAGACATTCTTCCGTGACATGGACTACAAATTCAGTCGAGGGTCGCGATAATAGTCAACATTAATTTACTGGAATCTGATGGATTCCGGGTCGATTGGGTTCACAGATAATTGGCATGCCTACTTCTTAGGCCACCTTGTGGCAGCCAGTGTTATGAGTTCTAACCCGACCTTTTGGACCGGGCACACTTGGAGCAACCATGGATATGATTAGCCACTACGTTGTGGTGTGACTTGTTCTTGGCTATTTCAAGCAGTGTAGGGAATGGAATGACCGCAAGAGCCAAGTTCTCCGGTCTAAAATGTGCTGTAAACCATCTAAATCTAAGAATGTGACAAGGCTCTTGCTTTTACAACCGGTCCAACATCGCAGATCGCAACAACGTCGCAGATCCCTGCCTCATGTTAAATTGTGGCACTCAATTACTTGCCCATTGGACTTGTAGTTACCGTTTACCTTACCATTGTTTTCGGAGCAACAAATCCGTCTTCTTCTATGTTACAGTGACACATCAACAACTCTACCCTTTCGCAGTTCTCCTTTACTCTGAGCATTTCTTCACAAATCTTGCAGTATAGCATCTGAGATCACGAACAATGTGGGATGAAACCAATGTGAGCGGTCTGTTGTTACACGTTTTCCATCGGCATTTGTACCCACCATTGGTTTCAAGGTGGCTCTTAAATATGCTGACCAGTGCCGTTCCGTGTCCAACTCAACGACGCGTTCACCTGAGGACAATGGATGACTAGTATTTACTCTGTCAAACTCTACGATAAGATCCCATAGAAGATGACTCGGAATGTTGTTATCTGCTGGCAGTTTCGGACAGGTTAAGTATCTTCTGCAAACTGACTTGAACTTTTATTGCCGAATCTAAGGTCATCCTCTAATAGTACACCTAAATCATTAAGTTAATACGCCGAACTTGAATTACACAGTATAACACTCAAGACATTGGCAGCTTCCTGTAGTGTAGTACTGTACTTCACTGTCAAATTCTGATTTGGGATCTGTTCCTGTCCGAGCTTTGATCCTTGCAAGTCTACAGACGAAGAGCCCTGATAAGACGTCGAGAATGACGAAGAAGAGGTTACAAAGTTACAGCCTCCTCAGCACATGGAATTCACTTTAGTACTTCTGAGTTTTCTGTGGTTACGTAAATTGGATCGACTTTCTTGTGAGTGTCAAGGAAGTTTTGTGCTTTGGATGGTTGACATCTACTGATGCTCTGTTCCAGGGCCGTGCTGGCCTTACTCGCAATGCTGAGTAGCCTCGCTCCGAGACAGAATTCCTTCAATATTCCTCTCATGACTAGCAGGTTGTCGTTTGGGAAGGGGTCACGGACTTTCGCCTTGCGGCTGGCTGCGATGCTGCAGCCATGCCCACATTTGTGGACCAATTAGAACTGCAGACACATTTCAAGGTCTCAGCCCTCCTCCTCATCTCTTGGCTCGGCTTGCGTAAAGGGCACCGCTTTGCATGAAGTCCAAAGCAGAGATGGTGCTGCCTTGCGCCGTGGCCGCGAAGCTGGCTAACCAGTTTACCGATTAGAATTACTGTGGGATTACCCTTTCATCCCTTGCCAACCCTGAACCCAGCCTACCTTCAAAACTCCCTGTTCTTTCTGACCATCATGATCTACACTGAAATTTGCAACCTACTGTAGAGCAGATTCTAAAGGAGACCTCGTCTATACTACGAATCCATGAGACATTCTTCAAAACATGCTGTTGGACGTACAACCTTGATCTGACGAGATCGAGAAGGCCTTACCACCAGATGTTCACAGTCCGTTCGTGCCGGAGGTGTGCAATGATCTCACCAGCTTGAGCTACATTCAACGAACGCTGGGTGTGTCTCGCAGGAGAGAATCCAGAGATTTATTTTTGAGGTCCAACAAGTTAAGCGAACGAAATGAAATTGCAAACAGAAAACGAAAACAAATGAGTTTTCTCCACTACCGCAGTCGTCGTCGTAGTAGTAGTAGTAGTAGTAGTACTACCACTAGTATACGGGTAGTTAGATTTTTTGCTGTTCTGGGACCTACTGTAGTTTCTCCCACCAAGCCAACGAACGAATGGTCAAAGACCCGAATTGATTCCACCATCTCTGCAGCTGTAATTAGAGCGCTTAGTGTTCTGGTTTTCTACTGCCATGCAGTGGTACAGCGCCAAGAGACTGGGATGAAAATGGTGGAAAAGAGCAAAGAGTGCACCGGTACATGCTGAACCCAACAGCTCAGCCGCAGTACGCGTCGTCCGATCAACCTCACACGTGTTGAGATACAACCACGTGTCGACCGAGTCACCTACAAAAAGGGAGAGTCGGAGAGCACCAGCTGCGCTGAGTTGAATATGCATGGTTTAGTTACCTCTCGCCACGTGCTAATTGTCCTCCCCGTCTCATGATCATTGTCAACTATGAATTGCACCGATACAATTAAATGCACAACAGAGAAGCAGTGAGAGAGCGCAAGCAGCAGGTCTGATACGAGCTGAATTCCCGACTTGCAGCGAACTGATCTTCCAAGCTGGTCAAAATTGCTCAAGCTGGGTTCCAATAAGTCGGTGGATCATTTCTCTGTAGGAGACTGGGCCGACCCGGAGTGGCAGGAGGAAGAGAGAATGCAGAGGGATAACAAGGCAGACAAGATGCAGAAGGAAAACAAGAGAGGCGATTTGGAGGCGGCGCACGGAGAGGATGCGGGAACGAGTGTGAACCCCGGAGGAAGGACTTATTACATTAGCATTCCCGTCAGGCCTCTATCTGCAGATGTGCCAGATGATCAGCTGCAGAGGCTGACCTTGTATTATACACTGTACGGTGCAGTTTTTGGCGTCGTGGGAGTTTTGGCCATCATTCTCCCTCTGTTTACCGGACTGGCTGTGACTCAGATTCTGCCATGGCTTCTGGTGTTGGGCGGAGCTGTCACTCTCTTACAGTTCTTGCTGATCTGCGGTGCCCCTGGAACTACTGCCTTCTTGCTGCTCGCAATCCTGCATTTGGCTGTTGGACTTTGGATGCTCATGAAGCCCGTCGCTGGGCAGACTGAGGTGACATTTATTCTGGCTGCGTGGTTCCTGGTCCATGGAGTTGTGAAGCTGATCATGGCTTGTCAAGTGCGCAAGTTGACCACTTGGCCTGCTGTTTTGGCCAGTGGATTCGCTTCCATTGTGTTGGCTTTCGTAATCACAGCCCTCACACCCAAGCTCGGACTCTTGCTGGTTGGAATCTGCTTCGGCGGTGATCTGATCGGCACGGGATGCGCTCTCCTTCTCATTGCCCTCATGGCTTTCCTCGGAGAAGGTCACAGGGCTATCACTGATGCTGATCTTCCACACGCTACCAAAGAGCCTCTTCTAGGTAGTGGACATGCAGCTGCCTCATCAGCTTAAATTATGTGACCACTTCTACAAATATCCTGCTAGATCAAATTCAGTGCTGTGGACAGAACACAAATGAGTCGTCTGGTGACCATTTCCTGAGCTCCTTTGGACTATGGCATATGCAATTCTTCCATTTGCAAGCCTGGTACACTGTCTTCCCGATGTGCTGTGACTCCAGGTTAATAATAATTGTTGTTTGTATAGTATACATTACATTGTTCGGAATGTGTAGCTGGTGTTTTTGATATAGCCTTTACACATTTTCATACACCTGAAGAGTTCGTGGAATATGTGACTTGTATCATTCTTGGACAGTTAGGACAGCTTTTGAACAAAGTTGTAGCATATGCTGTCACGGTTTAGCACCTGACATCATCGAGAATTAGTTCTTTGTACTATCGTATATTAATATAAATGTGTCCGAAAAGTATACAGTGGATGGTTTTGTTTTCAAATTCCTCTTTCCTCAAAATGGTTGAACATTTTATTTTCCACATGAGTGAGGATTTATAAGTTTCTGTTATGATGGTTGTACGACTGGAAATAGTAGATAAGTGCTAAATCAGTGGTTCTCACAACCAGTGGACCACGGTCTGATCAGATTCTGTATATCTAACATAGTATTTTATTGTAGACTGTAGGATAGAAAAGAACAATAGATTTCATTATTTTGGGAGGTAGAAGAGCATACGTAGTATGTATATGTCGCATACACAAGTGAACGGTGTCTTGCAAATAACGCTTAAAGTGCTCTGCAACTTAGGCCTCTGCTTATACCTCTACCACAACAATGAAGCCCCCTCGAAATACGTAGAAAAATATTACTGTGCCCAGCTCACTTCATAGTACCAGTTGCCTAAAAAGGGGTCAAACCGGTATTCTGAATGAACACAACACATACCTCTCTTTTAGAAAGTACTGCATAACTATGAAGTTACTCCAACCGTAAAACATAAGCTCCAGGGCATGATTTGCCTGAAGATAAAGAAAGAGGAAGAAAAGGTATAATAGTTGGCAGCTAATTTCTAGACCTGACAAATCGAGAAGAAAATATTTGCAGTTTGACCATGTTACAGACTAAAGATTATGCAGGAATATGATAACAATGCCGAGGACAATATAGCCTGCTATAGTGCAATTCTGTGTGAATTGCACTATAGCAGGCTATAGCACATACATATATGAATAAATAATCATATTATCCTTTAATAAATGTTTGTAACGAATGCTTCGAAATGTTTGTTTTCGCTAATCCGATCTATATCAGGATTAATCATATCTAATCATTGTTTGTAAACGATGGTTAGCCATATCTAGCCAAGAAAGGGTATCTTCAGCGAAATATTAAAACAACAAGAAGTTTCAAAGTAGAGAATAGTACCTGATGACATGTCAATACTTGTCAGCCTCACGCTTACTAATGTGTCTGGCAGATATTGTTTTCCGACTAGATTTTCTCGTATCTTTGTTCAGAGGTGCACCAATATTTATGTGCCTTTGTCCCCTGAAGTTTCAAAAGACACTTGTTTAAGTTGTGGTACTTGTCTCCACAAATAAAAACACAAGTGCGAAGTTCTTCTTTTTCTTCTTTAATAGCTTTCTAACTCTCAAAGTGTCGATTTGAGTGATCAAAGTGAAGTTGATTGTGATTTTTTTCGCAGTGTTTGAAGTTTTGTTGCTGCTTTAAGTGCTTGATTTGTATCTCTAAACGTCCTGCTGAATTATTTCAAGAATTGATCAAGTTCCATCAAGTGTGAAGAATCCTTATCCAATAGTGACAAAAACCAAGATAACGCTAACTTGTATTTACAATTTTTTAATTGATTTTGAATTTTTTTTCTTGATTTATGTCTTGTGATAGCTTATTTTTATTTAAAAAATTAATTATTTTGTAATTATTTTGAAAAATAACTTATATATAACTTAAATTTATATTATTGACTTTGTAATGAAATATCAACTACAACTGAGCTATATTCAAAATATGATAAAGAAAATTTATATATGGTTGTTGAAGTTAAGTCTGTCAAGGACTAAACTCAAGTTCTAGTTATCTCTAGCTAGTATGAGTCGCTTTCCGCATTTTTTGTTGGGGCGTCTAGTTATCCATCACTTAGGGCTAATTAGCCCTCACTCTCATATACATTGTTTACTCATTGGTGAACAATGTATGGCGTCAAGTTATAGGTCACATGGGATGAGTAATAAACTTCGTGGGTTTTACTTCTTTCCGCTCTTCATACATGATGCCTCCGTGGCAAGAGCCGCATCAAACACATGCTTATCACCACAGCGTTCGAGGAGCCGAGACAAACCCATGCTTGTCAACTCCGCGTTTGAGGTTTGCTGTGAATGCTGTCTCCTAGTTTGTCGCTCTCTCGTCTCATCGTCGTGAATGGCTTGCACAGGATGTCATTACAACTAACACTTGTAGGAAGTCATACTTTTCAAATACCTATTATGCACTCCATTTAGTAGGCCAAAATCTGCTACTGACTAAAAATGTTTGAAGTATGCCAAAATTGTTCGCGGTACTTTTTTTCCATGTGCTATGATATGACCAGCTCCAGACTGTATAGTGTATAGTACTCCAAATGTTGAGTATCAATGAACTCTTGGAACTTTGATAAAATAAAAAGATTTCATTATTTGCTGATTGTTGAAGAGAAGGAATTAGCATAAGTATCATGTACATGTGTTTTTTATGTTCAAATCCGGAATGCTCGTGAAAATCGTAATCCAAATAAGCGTTGAGTTTGGAATCATTAAGTGTACTGATTTGTTCACTTGGATGATACTCGTGACTTACAAGCAAGAATATCTTGCAAAGATACGTTTTCAAATTGTGAGAGACAGTTTTAACAGTGTTATTAGATCCCATAAATTGCACAATGTTGGCAATTATGTCATTAAGTGATGTATCTTATTAGGACGAGATGCATGACATGATATCAAAGTCAACTGAATTGTAGCCAAAAAAGAGTAGGATTTATTGGAATTGGTCTTTGACGGGGAGGGTGACAGCGACTCTCCAGTTTGTGGCCTCCATCCTTTTACAACGCGGATTATTTTCCGCTAGGTTTGACGTGACTCTTGCTACGGAGGCATCATGGACAAAGAATAAAAACCCGCAAAGTTAATTACTCACACCATGAAACCTATAACCCGGTGCCACCAATGAATGACCAGCATATAGTAGTGTGAGGGCTAATTAGCCATATAAGTGAGTAATTACTAGCCCCCTTTTTTTTCATAGCAATATACTCTCTCTCGCATGTATCAACTTTAGACATAGCCATGCACTTGGGTGAACCAAGTTATCTTCGTATCTCGAGTTTGTCTATTTGTTTAATTATCTTTATGGTTATGTCTATCTTGAGTGTCTACGACTAGCCGTAGTGATTATAAAATTTTATGCGTTTAGTATTTTTTTATTTTACAAAATATTTTGCATAGTAACATAATGCATTATAAGATTTTTTAAAAGAATAATAAATACTCCAGTTGAATTGAATTCATCATAAATATTGACAAGCTCAATCTTGTTATTTCAAATTGCAAATTTGATAAAATATTCTTTTAATGTGATATGCTTCAATTTGCTATACATCACTTAATTTGATACAAGATTTAATGCATTTTGACCATCATAATCAAAATTGACATGTCATTTTTATAATCATTCACAATAGTTGCATAAATCAAAGTGCAATTCATGGATGTAAAATTCCATGGAAGTAATTTTCTTGTTTTTTTTAAAAAAAAGTTATATATTAAAAAAGCTCAAGCTTATTATAAGCAATCAGCCATTTGTGTCTCAATTGAATGATGCCAAAAAATTGATTGCAATTTTAGCATGAAAATTGTTCATATTTTTTCAATATTGATCATTTATACAGATTTTTTTATAAGAAATCAGTTTTTTAAGCAAAAAATCAATTTTTTTGAAATTTAAACTTTAAAAAATATTGTTTATTGCAAATTATAAACAATATGAGATAAAAAAACTATTCATTTCTTGGCGGTGGACGACCTAACGTTTTCAGATTTAACGGGAGATTGTGTACATAAGAAAATGTTGCATAGACCGAGATGCATGCTATGTGTTTTGAAAATCACACAATCTAATAGAGGCAAGCTATGCAACGCATCGTTGGGAGAAATCTCACAACGGCCCCATGAGCACAAATTTCAAACTCAATGGAGTAATTTTCTTGTCATTATTTGTAAATGAATGTCTTGTGATCAGTCTAAGTTTCAGTTTGAGATTTGAAATTTTGTAATCTAGAATGAATTTATTTATTTATCAAAAAATACACATCATACAAAATTTGACTATATTTAGATAGAAATTGATGCGCAATTTCTACATGATATGCACAATTTTATTATGAATTACTTTATACAGCAACTAATTTATTTTATTTGAAAAATATTGCATTATATAAAATATATTAGGTACATATTATTTTGATATAACGTTTGAGAATCCCAAACTTTAGCTATCTGAAATACGTATCTAAGAAAAGTGATATTATTACATCTTAGATTGCATTGTGATTCTTACAATTTTTTGTCATGTATCATACTGGAATATTATTTTCATCCATTATCACAAGCAACAATTTTAATTATTTTGCAGAAAGTCTTTGAACTTAACTATGGCAAAAAGAAAAATTTTTCACATTAATTGTCAATTTGACATGAATATCTACATCTAATATAGTCAAACAGTTGAATCTTAAGTAATCCAATTATTTTATTAGTACTAGATGAATAATTTTTCATATAAACTACCATCTTTGATAATGATATATTTTCCCTTATGTGACAAATAGAATACACATTAACATCATTTGAAATCAAGCAATGATCAAATTTTTTTTGTTTAATTTTTTAGTTATGTTTTTTAAAAAAAATTCAGTGTTAAAGATATCATTCTTTGTAACAAGTAAATTTTAATCTACATTGGTTAAAGATAATAATCATGTATGAAGAGCAAATTTTTGCTAAATCTCCGAAGACCAAAGTAAACCATTTAAAAAAAATTTACTTAGATTTAATCTTATATTTAAATTAAAATTAAACAAACATATTATCGTAGTATATTTCAACCAAGACAGCTGCAATGCGTGGACCGTACGGAACAACGAGTGCTCAAGTCGCCGTAAGCTCGTACGATCAGACTAACAAATGCATCGAAGCTTGAAGCAGAGAGCTGGAAGTTTCTTGAGTCGCGATGTGATCGTACGTACGAGGCAGAACGACTTCTACGAACACTTCGGGCACTAGAGTCGCTAGAAAGTCACCGGATGTAACGATGTCCGGCCCTAGATGGGGACAGGTTCTTCAGACCAGAGAGAGGAGCCAGAATAATGTTCCGCCGGCTCTCAAAGCCATGCGTGCATTAGGACGACCATCCAAGTCGGTCAGTCGTGTGAAGCGAGGGAGAGCTAAAATTGCAGCACGGTTTGGGCCCACTGAACAAACCAACGGGAAGGTGCCAACGAAGTAGCACAATCGAAGGACGGCGGCGAGTTTTACTGCGCTCTAGGAGAAGGCTGCAATGCAAATCTGTTCTGCTGACTGAGGCCCAGCAGCATCGGTGGATAGGAGTTTCACGAAGTGTGTAAGCTCGAAAATCGTATCGGCGAAACTCTTGATCTCACCTCATCGTCCTCGTGAGGGCCGATCCGAGCAATGGGGCTCGAGTAAACTACTCATCTCAGCAGAACGGAGATAAGAAGGGCAGGGAACGCCTTCGCTTCGCCTGAATGTTCGATCAGGATTTGTGGAATTCACAACGGAAGACTATCATGATCATAAGCAGGTAGTGTGAACGTATCAGCATCGATATATGATTAGTTCGTCCATTCTACTGTACGGTTAGCTTGGACTGCGGTCCGAGCACGAGCAGATGAGAAGCACGAGCAGAGATGCTGTCTTACCAGCCTTACATAACTACGAGGAGGGAGGGCTGAACGACTTCACCTCGTGCTCGTTTTCTTCGAAATCTTCAGCACGAGTCGAGGCGAGAGTTTCATTCAAGTTCATGCGCCTACGAGATCGATCATCAAGACCCACTTCGGCCTCGACGGACGTGATGATTTTGACTCGGAACCAACCTCGGTGATGGACTTCACGCAGTGCATTTCCCCGACTCTGCAAGATGATGCATGGGTCGAGCAGCAGCAGCAGGTAGCGCTGTGGGATCAACATCTGCTATTTTTGAGGGAGCAGCAGCTGTGCCTGTGGGGACAGAATGAATCCGAGCTGCAGTACCTGTACGAATGCGATCCTTCGTAAAGGTACTGCAGTTCTGTGGGGAGTTCTAGACCTCCTACTAGACGGATGGGTTCATATTCCAGCAAGAACAGCTCCAGCATTCACAGTCTGCAATCGTTCGACGACTATGACAAGGAAGCTCAGCTCGACAGCTGGATCTCGTGCTCCGGTTGTAAAGTCTTCTGCCTTCCCCTACAGTTGCAGATTCTGACTCTTCTCCTTACCTGGCTCTAGACGGTCATCTCTCGGGAATTCGAATTCTAAAATTCCAGTCCGAGACTTGTGAGTTTGCCGGTCGGGTCCGCCGAGGACGACAAGATTTCTGCAATTTTCATTGTCCAATTAAATTGCAACTGTCTATCGTCCGGCTGGTACAACCGGTGAGAGAAAACCTCCAGGCGAAGAACTCCGGCCTTCATTTGATTAAGCCCCTGTCCGCTGCCGATCCCTGGAACTTTCTACCGTCGGAAGATCTATTGTACAGCTCCAAACCTGTGGGCCCCCACTGCAGCTCCCGTTACATCCATATTTCTCGAATTCTGCCTCTGTCCAAGACAATCCTAGCTGGTACGATCTGAAAGCAGCGGACAGGAGGCAAATGCGAGAGCTCGGTCACTCCGTTCACAGCATCCGTCATCGACAGTAGGAAACAAGGAGGGCTAAGCAGTAGAAGAACGCAGCGCTGATAAGTCTCGAGACATGGAAGACGATTGCATGTCCATCGACTCGAATGTCACGAAGCCCATGGACGCAGTTCTGCGCCCTCCTTGCCTTCTTTCTCCTCCTCCTCAGCAGCGGCAGTTGCAGCCAATGCCAACTGCGTATCGGGCAACTACGGCTCCATGAGTGTGGTGACGCTGATCCGCGACCTCGCCACTTGCGCCGGGGCCGCAAATCAACTACTCTCGTCTGAGTAAGCTCAAGGAGGCCAGGATGGCGCTGGTGGAGGTCGCCAAGTCGCGCCTGACGCAGAGCTCGAAGCTGGAGCTGTGCGACGGCGACTACGTGGTTAAGGAGAATCGCGGCTTGGTGAGCGCAGTGCCGCATTACTACTCCGTCATATTGCCGCATATAAGGTTCAACCACTTTAGCTGCGACGGCTAAACGCCGTAAGAGGAGACGGGCTGCGTCGTCATGGGGTGGACGGGCAAGCCCATCATCGCGGCCTCGTCGTGGAAACGATGAGACTGAGATTGAAGTTCAATAGAGATCGCGTTTCTTGGCCTCTCTCCGCTCGCCTTTGAATAGCTTGGCTTCATGTTGTAGTTGTACTCGACCCTTTTACTGCACACGACAGACAGACAGACACGCACGCACCAACCTCCCGATCGAATCAACAATCTCGGAGCTATCAAACAGCCGCAAATTACTTGGAATGGATGGGAGGCGCAAATTCGCAATACACAGAAGAAGAAGAAAAGACAAGTTGGTTGAGGTGATCCGCAGCTCCGACACTTATTCATCGGCCTTGTAACCAACTCCCATCGTTCGGTCAGCGAGTACTTCGCAAGTCTCTTGGATGTTGTGAGTTGGTGCTTCGTACGAACATGGTCATGGGACGCTCCACTCCCCCATTTCTCGCTTATGTCGAACTTGATCGCCGAAAATGGCTGAGGCGCAGTTGCATATGACCGTCGCATGAATCTTGCTAGGATAGTATGTATGCTTGATAGCATAATTCGGATTTACGAAACTTTCAGCTCTCGGTCTTCGATTGACGCTCGGTTTCAGCTGGTCTGGCTGCCCGTGGATGTGAAACTGGAGCCAATTGATTACCAACTTCACCGTTCCCGCCGTCTAGAGTTTGTTCCCAATCGATTCGCTGAACCGGGAACGTCGAGAGGAAGTGAGCATTTTTATTGTTTGTAACACCGTCATTTAGGCTTCATCAGAATAAAGCATCGCTCAGATCGATCCACCTCCATGTCATTTGGATCAGAACGTAGACTACACATGTCGAGAGTCTATTATTTTTTGGTTGCCGGACTTCGATGGAAGGCAATCAGGCGTCCCGTCCACGACTCGTCAAGCAACAGAGCATCAGCTTCGCGGTTTTCTATACCACGACGTATCGATTTCGAAAGACCAGTCATGGACTTCTGCGAATTTGCTCTTAATCTACTTCCCGTTAGAAGAATGCATTCAGACCTTGTCAGAAAGCTAAAAGTATCGCAACGAAACATACATGTATTATAAGCTTGTATCATGCACTTCCAACGCCTCGCTGCCGCAGCGCTAGAGGCTTTCGATGACACCAAAAGCTGATGATTGAATCGACTTCGAGTAAGTCTGAGTAAGTCTCATTTATCCAGCTTGCCGTCCACTAAATCCACAACGAATTCCTTCCAATATACTTAGTGCAGAAGAAGCTGGAAGTTGTTCGATGTCAGTTATTAAATGTAGAGATTTATGTTCTGGTACGGGTTTATTAGATCGTGGGCATACTTTTCTTGCGCGTTCCTGTGCTCACTACTGAATTTCTATTCAACCTCCTTGAGTATTTCAGAGCACATTGTTTTGCTCCTTCACTCAACTTCAGAGACACCTCTGCATAGAACCGCTTCAGTTTGGAAAATAACGCTGCACCAAGTGGCAAATTACCGACTATGAAGAAACTATAAATCATTTGAGGAACGGAGACGAAAGAGCAGCAGAGGAGTGATCTTAAATCGAGAGGTAACTGGTCAAATGTGAACTGCTGCTTTTGGAGTGTTGTAGTCCTCGAGACGTCAGTTAACCTTAGTCCATGAAAACATCTCCTGAAAAGTACAATTTCATGGGACTGCTTGCACTCCTGGAGTTGGAATACTGATGATGAGGTGGGTGAAAATAAGTGATAGCCGCCGGGTGGAGATCTATGTAGATCCTTGTGATCACGAAAGAACGGGGAGGGAGGTTCGCGGCAAGGCGAGTGAATAAGGGTCGGGTTGAACCTCATGACAATCCACGACTCGAGCAATCAATGCAGCAGTAACTCTGAGCTGTCCCGTGATGTGATGTGGGGGGCTTCGCAGTTTACGGATCTTCCACTTCCAATCAAGTTCGCGTAACGGCCTACGAACATTCGGGACGGGAGGGAGCCTGGAGCTAGCTGTCTGCCTGTCGTGAGCAGAGCAACCGCCACTGCAGGATTTCAGCGAGACTTAGGCGCCGGTTTGTTGTGCCCTTCCCCCTGGCTGCTCCCAATGGTCCCAGCATGTCCGGACTTGCTGCGTGCTTCGAGCTTCAGCCTTCAGCCCTCGGGTACCTTTTCCAATTAGGTGGAGGGACCTTACCGATGTATCGGTAAATCTCAATCAAAGTGAGTAATGAGTATATGCATCAGCGGATCAAGACGAAACCGATCCTCATTGCTGGTGTCGGAGTTCATGACAGCGGGAGTATCACTATTACATTTCAGTGCCGAATCTCAGTCGTTTGTACAACTCGGTTGCCATGGCGGCAGCGGCAGCAGCTTATTAGATGGAGAAATTTTACAGCGCGGATGATCCTCTCGCTCAACCGGCATGAATCGAAGGAGAAACAAATATAAGAATTGTAACTGTAATGTATGTTCAGTGAGCGTAGGACCGAATATACTCAGGGTACACAAGTTTCGTCTACCTACCTATCTAACTGATTCATGATTGATTGATTCTAGTCGGGGGAAAGGATTTCTACGAGTTCACAACATTGCATTTCTTGCGAATTTCGCCCTGCGTGCCCGTCAGGACGCCGATGGCGAGCATTCTGTTCATGGACACGGGAAAATCCTTGAAGAAGTTGGTGGGGTCCTGCGAGATGGCGGTGATGATCGACAGCGGGTAGCGCGCAGTCAGAAGGGCGGCGTCCGACTGGAACACGCCTCGTCCGGCCAGAACGTCCGTGTAATAATTCCGGTCGAAAATGTTCTGCGTGCTGTCCAGCGGAACGAAGGAAGCGGTGGGAGGATTGGGCGGGCACGCCGCCTTGAGCTGCGCGGCGAACGTAGCGTCAATGGTCGGGTCCGTGTCGCCTTGCCCCGTGAAATTGTACAGTCGATTGCTGAACAAGAAACACTGAGCCCTCCCCAGCGTGTGAGCACCTGCATCGCCAACCGAGATCCATCTCAGCACATTCTTTCCACGCATCAAATCGACCGAGGAGAGGCAAATTCTTCTCCACAACTCGAATCAGCGTTCGCCCACGCCCACGGCAAACGGGAACGACAAATCAGGCTACTCATGGGCGTACAAAGTGACCTAATCTGTGTCCGGGACATAATCTTACGTGGAGAATTTGGAGAATTTGGCTGGTGGTAATTGGACGAGAACAAGAATAGAATAAAACAGAACAGAACAGAGCCGGATCTGGATGGGCCAGACAGGAAGGTAGGATTGGAAATCGGAGCTTGGAGGAATGAGAGTGAGAGTGTGCAGAACCTGAGAGCGTGACGAGATCATGCTGAGAAAGGCCCACATTGGCGAAAGCGGCCATGAGCTGCGAGTAGCCTAGCGTCGCGGCTGGAATTTGGCTGTTGGCCTCCTGCTGCGACGAGACGATGCCATCCCTGCGGCCCAGATAGATGGGCCAAGTCGGGCCTCCTGTCTGGAGGAAGCAAACCACAGGAACATCATGATTACACAGCAGATCACAGCACTGCCCTCCCTCGCTCCCTGGCATAATCCTCCGGGCACTCTGCCTGCTTTCTAGCCTGAACAAACAAATCTGTCGGAGAGAGATATTCGCACCGCGACGACGGAATCTCGAGCCACGAGCGCGATGATGTCGGCGCACGACACCACGCCGGGGCACACCGTCTCCACCGCGTTCTTGATCGCGTCGTAAACGTTGAAGCCCCGGAGGGAATTCTGATTCGGTCCCGCCGTTTTCTCCGCCTGCTGCGCGGGAGTGGAGTCCAGCAGCAGCGAGGCGTCGCATCCCTGCAGCACGGCCAATCGCACAAGTCAGTCGTCGCACATTCCATTCCATTCCATGCATCGAATCCTGGTCGGAAGAAGTACACATTCACTCGCTCCAGCCGCAGGAGCTGGAGCATGACTGACAGCAATCACTGCAATTGCTCCCATCTCCTTCCTCGGACGATCGGAGGAAGATCAGACAGCGAGCCAGATCGATCCGAATGTGAGCAGCGAATACAACTATTACAGCGGCAGGGGGGGCAGGGAGGCAGGGAAAAGGCATGATGCTGTACCCGCACGAAGCAGTCGTGGAATGCCATTCGAACTAGAGAGCCCGCGAGGGTGAGGTCGGTGTTCAAGGCTTGAGTCACTGCAGCTTTGACGATGCCATCTAGCTGCGGGCAAGTCTGCTCATAGAATTTGATCGATAATGAACCTTTGACCCATTGTGGAGAAATGTCGCCCACGGAAGTTGCTCGAGCCAGAGTGCACAACCACAGTCCCAGGAGAACCGACAAGGCTTGGCAGTCCCTGCGGAAGAGCGTCATCGCTCACGGGCCAATTCAATATCTGCCAGAATGTGAAAGTAAAGAAAATTGTTAGATCTTCGTGTCGCACACGTACATTCGAAATCTTGAGTGGAAGAGCAGCAGAAGACAGACAGAGCATCGTTTCTTTGCAGTGCCTCCCTCGACCTCATTCGGAAAGCTGTGGGTCGTCGGAAGATTCATCGCGTGAAAGATAGAATAGACCTAGAGCTCCTGTGCATGGATACCTCATCTGCGGTCGTCTATAACACCAGATAGTCGGAGACCCCATCGCATTCACAGTGCATCTAGCTCGATTGGAGGAGTGGAAAAAAATTCGAAGGATGGATCTATCGACTCCAGCTATTCAGACTCGACCTCAACTACCACGCCCACCCTCACTAAACCATGTTGGCGCAGGGCTGTCCCCTCTCGTGCTGTTACCTAACCGAGCGAGCGAGCAAAGACGCGCAATTTTACGTCTGATCAGGATACAGGGCCCGTAGATTCTTGACACTGTACCTCGCATGCACCGCACAGCTCTGCGATATGATGCAATGCAGCAGCGGCAGAGTCGAAACCAGATCGAGTGCGTCGCCACAGTCAGTAGGTGGCAATGTAGTCGTCGTACTGCAGTCTCTGTATCTGTTGAGCCTTGAAACATAAACCCCCTCTCTCCCACGGTTGGTGTACAGTCGGTAGGTTCTAGCGCAGACGTAAATTCTCCTCCCCCCCTCTCTCTCTCTCTGTGTCTGTGTCTGCCGGGCTTCGTCCGAACGCCGCTGCGCATTCACTGACAAGTTCAAGCGAGAGATGCGCGGGGCAGTAATATAGAATCTCGGAAGGGCCGGCGTGGAGAGAGGGACGGGGTCGGGGTGGGGGAGGGGGCTAGTGAGCGGGCTCCGTGATCAGAACGAACATTCACTCGCGTGTAGGCTGCGGTGGGATTATGTGGGTCGGGTAGATTAGATGGGGGGAGCTGCACTTGGAGGTGGAAACGGTGGCGGATAGATAAGGAGAGTACAGTAGTGCGCTTCGAGTTTCAGCCATCCATCCGACCTCCGACCTCCGAGGGGCCTCGAATTTTCGACGCCGCTAGCCTCTCGCTCTGCTTTGTTGCCCTTGGCTCTTGGCTCTTGGCCCTCTCTGCCCTCCGTCGCCCGTCGCCCGTCGCCGGCGCCAGCTCGCAAAGGTTTCTTCTACTCTACTACCGCTACACGTGCTTTCGGTACGCGCCACACGAAGCCCGAGACGACGAGCCTCCGTAGGGTCGATCGAGCCCCTGTTCCCAGGCAGTAAAATCCTCTGTGTAAAATGCGTTCCAACTGTCAAATTCTCCCATCTTCCTCTGTGCCATTTGCCATTTGCCCTCCTCCTGCGGTCTGGTCGGGTCGAATTCATGGGCCGGATTCGGTTTATCGCAAACGAAGAAAGTCTCGGCACCCCAAAGGCGAGGAAGCGGAGAGGGCGGTGGTTCCCTACTCCAAGTGCATACTTTGCTCGGCTCCGACGACGTACGTGTCTTCGGAGTCAAAACTTGTACGTCTTGCCCTGCTGTACATGGCCATGTCGGTACCAATACTGTACAGGTCGAGGTCGTCTGGCATCTTTCTTTGGCCTACACCCGAGGGAGACAATAGTTTGCTCCGTCGCTGCCTTTCGTCCGAAATGCAGCTGCAACTGTTGGAATTCCTTGATGATCCCGGCATCGGTCGGGCCGCTTTTCCTGGTTTCTCGCCGGACTTGGAACTCTGGACTCGCCGCCGATTCACCACAGGGTGATACTGGGGGGGGGGGGGGGGGGGGGGGGGGGGGCAGCGTGAGCGAATCATGGCCGAGGAAGTTCAAGTTATTGATGAACAACAACAAGAAATGCTGAAATGCCATCAGGGGAAGAAGATGTTCGGGTCCTCTGCTCTGACACAGCATTGGCGGTCTTCATTTTAACAGTGATTCTACTTATAGGAGTAGGAAGGCTGTTGCAAGTCATGTTGTCTTTCAAATTAGCTCTTCCCCATGTCTACCTACTTACAGATCGAGTTCGTTTGCTTGAGAGCGAAGGACTACTCTACTTAGTTGTCATTATCGCAATTAATGTGCTTCTCACTGACTCGAGAGAAGCTCATTTGCTAGGGCCGATGAATCTTTATCCCGATCTTTTCTGAATTTGCACTTATCACCCCAGGCCTCGGTGTGTTTCTGTCTGTCGGTGTGAAAATTCTTCCACCGATCCCACGGATCACGCTGGTTGTATGATTTCTTCTTAGCCCAGCTTCTTTTCCACTCATTATCTGCCGCCCCAAAGCCTTAAGTCGCGCCAAGTTCCTTGAAAATTCTGCTGCATAAGTGAGTCTTTCTACTACGCATTTCACTTTATGTTTGTCCATGTTGACTTCGTTTGTCCACTTCCTCGGTCATCCGTGGTGTTGTGCAGACCTGGGAGACCAAAACTTTCCCAAAATGAATCAAGCATGCTACAACGCCTCGCATGCCTCAAGGCTCAACTTGTGTGGCTGGCTGGCTGGTTCCCATGCCCTTTTATCCGTTACAGCTAGTTTAGTAGCTGCTGTTCTCTCCACTGCAGTCACATTGCCAAGTTCACTGGAGAGATTTATAGCCATGGCATAGAGCTCCTTCCCAGCGTTGCGTTCACCTTTTTGTCGACTGACGGACTATGCTTGGCTACATCGTTGATGAAGGAATTCTGCTGAGGAGACCTGAGGTTGCCAAAAGACTTGCCACCAGCATGTGACCCACAAATCCAGCTGGCTTGCTGAGGTTGCCCTTCCTTGCTCTACTCCCTTACCCCGCCTTCTCTTCTCTTCCCGGCATGCCGAGATAGCTGCATTGAATTGCCTTTCCCGCTTACAGCTATTTGGAAGATAAACCTCACGCAACGCTGCTTGTCCAAGACTCACAATGGAACTCTCACTTTGCTTGGATCGAGCAAAAGGTCTCGATGCCACCCCTTCGCCGTGCCCTTATATCCCTAATTCCAGGTGGAACAGCTGACAATGTTACACTCTCCTGGGCAAGGACGCTGGACACTTGTCCAACGGGATCGCCACATAAATCGGTCCATATACAGATTCGTGTAATTGCCTCGAGGGCACATCATATTATTGCGTCGACCTCGAGGATCACAAGGAAAACAACGGCGCAGTTGTGTGTCACGTTCAAGCTGTATGAACGGAATTTGTCACTCGATGGAGTTGTCCTCGACCTTCGTAGGTGAGAAACATAATAATGAAGGATAGGAGGGGTTTTATTTTACAGAGCGAACGAACGAGAGCAAGTCATAGTTGAAATAGGATGGGAGGATCCCTTCGATTAATAAATGTGTGAAAGGGGGGTAGCATGGGGCTAGCCCAATCGAGGACTGATCCAAGTTGGCAAGGACTTTTGGTACGTCTGGTTAGTACACTGGGATGAGATAGTACACTACTGTGAATGTCAACACCATACGATGAAGGTTAAAAATGTACAAAGACTATCCAAAACTCCTGAACTGCCGACAAAGACCTTCGAACTTTGCAGTTGACAACCATTAATGAGGTTGCAAGGCGAACGTGCATGACCACAGTAATAGAACGAGGCCGTGCATGAAACTCCTTCTTTTGAGCTGGGCTTCTGGGTACTATGTGTTTTATGCATGTCCACATGGAATTTGGCTTCGAGAGCGCCCAAGCGTTTTGGAGCATTTGCACTACGATTAAAGAAGTCAGCCGTGTCCTCAAAGTCTCACGAGGATAGAGTTCTGAGCTGGTAGATCATGGAAGCTTGTTGCCACGCCTTGCAATAAAAAACAAATCAGTGCAATACTTTATTTCTCCTCAGTTCAAGTTCAAAATATACTAACAAATTCAAATGAATGGATCTAGTGAAGATGCTCAGGTGACTGACTATACTGAGTATAGTCAGTCATGGAGTATAGTATACTCCATGCATTCCCATTCACAGACCGACGAGTTCCAAAGAAGTGGCAAAACATCTGCAGAATGAAGAGCTCTAGGTGGATTCTTCCACCTGCTTGAGTATTACGTGATTCCCTCATGGATGTGTGTGTCAAAGCTAGTCAAACTGCCGATACGATCGACGTGATGTAGTGCCATAGAAGAATCATATGTTGTGATTGTTGATAGCTTCGCAACTTGTCAGAAATCATTGTGCCTGTGGTTTAGATCCAGAATCCAATTCTGGAATGATTATTAAATAATGTAGTGTATTTGAACATCTACTGCTAGATTACCGTCCTGTTCAGGATCTTAAGTCCGATTCTTGCTTCACCTTGATGCAGGAGACCATTCGTACGTACAGGACTGTTGAATTGTATAGTCGTTGTTTAAAATAATAAGTGGCAATTCTGAATTTCGCAATATCTGCTTTATTCACATGTCAGAGACTCCACGTCCGTATGTTCGTATAACCAACTCTTCGTTGAAACAAAAAGTACACAAAAAAAGCGTCTAAGATCCAGTTGCCTTATTACTATCAGGTTTGCACTAACGTCATCTTCTTCCCAGGAGAATAAGAAGTATCTCAATTATATTATTTATACAATATTAAAGGGCACAGGAACCCTCTGGATTTCTAATACAATGCTGGCAAGACAAACAAGTCTGTATAAATCACCGTCAACATTATGCCGAAAGAATTTCCCCTGTAAACTGGTAAAAGGGTAATCCTTTGGTCATAGGTGCCCAACTAAAGGAAACACTTAGTCCAGTCTGTGAAGAAATAATCTTGTGAAGAAATAATCTAGTGACCTGTCAACCTCTTGAAATCTAATTGGATTGTTTGTATTGTGTTTTTCAGCCTTTTGACCCTTTGGGTCCCACGGGCTTGATCTATTTACCATAATCTATTAGATCGACATCACTTGATAACCACAAACTTTGGCATGCATAATTTTAGCTGAACTGGAATTAAAGATAGCTGATATGTTTGGCGTAGAAAAAGTAATCTTACATTAGTACAATGTTCTCTTGTGAAGGTGATTTTGCTGGGAGTGCTCTTTTAAAAAAATAATTTGTGGTCATTTTTTTAACATATGTGCAAGTGGTGGTATTTCTTGTACATAAAATCAATGTACCCTGGAGAAATGTTGAACAATATCTTCTCCTCTAGGCCTTATTGTTTCAAACAGTGGTATATCGTAAATAAGTTTTCTCTACTCCACCTATTTGCAACGACTCTCTTCCAAATTTTCTTCCTTGTGCCATAGATTACCGTAATATGTAATAAATGTCACAACTTATGAACTTAGGTAGCGTCCCCGTTAGATAAGTGCAAGCAGAGTATAATGTGCTCAATCCTGTTCTCACTAGCACTTGAGGCAGCAATCTTCAGGTGCTTAGGGTTCAAGGGATACTATTATAATATATACAAGGAACATTACACTAACATGGATAAAGCCAAAATCTTTGTAAGTCAAATGGGATTTGGCTTGGCTTTGTACTTTCTTATGTGTTATATTATAAGTTGAGTATATAATTTAAACAATTACACCAAAAAATCAGAAAAACTAAGATTGGACTATGTGGTGTAAGTTGTGGATTATTGGAGAATTGATGATATTTCTGGGTGTTTCGATCCATGATAGATTTAACAGTTATGTTACTAAAAGTGTGTCATGTTGATGTGATGAATAATAGTATCAAAATCAAATAGATTTGAATTATATATTGTTTTTTAAAGCTCTTAGTCCTATATTTTGGTAAAAAATTGGAATTATTAAAAATTCTGAAATTGATCAATTAGTTGATATTGATATATAATTAGTCAAGCCCAAAAAATATTCTAGTAGAAATAATTGTAAATATGGCTCAAAATTAGAACATGCAGTTTTAGAATTTTGTGAATAAAATATATAAGCCACATACAATTGAAATATTTTCTATTGTTGATTGTAGAAAATTTTGCTACAACATTCAACAAATTAGACTATATTATTGAGTTCATGATTAAATATATTTATATTGAGAAATCAAAATTTAGAAAAAGATATTTTTTTAAATAAATAAATAAATAAATAAATATATTGACCAGATCCATGTGAGAAAAATAATTTCATATATAATTAAATGTTGATTTAGGTGAAAGAATATTTTGATTAACGACCACATATATCGCAGTTGAGTTTTGTTAGGATAAAATGCAGCATATTTGACATTGATACTAAAAGAGAATGTAAAAAAAAAATTTTGCAAAATGTGTGACGTTTTCATCTGAATAAATTGGACAAAGTTTGCAGTAAAACATGAGAATATGAAAACACATAAAAAAAATATGCAAGTTTTTTTTGGTTTGACTGACGTTTAATATATGTAGATTTCAATATCTTGGGAAAAAAACGGCTTTAGATCAAGTTACAAATTGAGTGAAAAGTACATATAGACTTATATAATGTAATTATATGGGCAGAAATATTTAACCTAATATATGTTGTAACACATCTAGTATGAGTTCAAGGAGTAAAATTTTTAATGGTTTTTGTTTGATGCAATTTTTGTTTAAATTTGATTTATCAGGAAGATAGAAAAAAGTAAAATTTACTAAAGTTGCATAGATCATACTTGATTGAAATTTAAATTTTATCAAAAGATCATGCATTTTTTTGTTATTGATTTTTATCTTAAAATATCACATGTAACTTTGCAAAACTACACTATCAAAAGTATGCAAAAATTTCATGGAAAAATGTTTGTTGCAAAAAATGAAAGTAGTAATATTTCAGGTGAAAAAATCATCTAAATTTTTGGATACAACTATGAATTTACAGATCATTTTTATGTACATTGATTACATATGCAAGATTATATTGTTTCCTAGATGAAGGTGAGAGTTATTGATATGATGTATACATGTAATCCACTATAAATTAAAAGACTTGTTGTTTCAAGTGGAGTTTGATGACCACAAATGTTAAGTTGGGATAATTTATCATTGCGGTCTGGTTACAAGATGGGCGTACTATTGCTACAAATCAACAAGGTGGGAGTATCAACCCGCTATATTTTAACACCAACATTAGTCCCTGCTGAATTTGAACACCACATTGGTTTTTCCATCCTTCCCCCTTCCTCGAAACCTTTCTACGTTTTACCGGCGTCGGACTATAGAAAGGCACATTGATTGCTAAATACTGGGCAATTATGAACATCGTATCCGAGCCTCATGCAATTCTTGCGGGGCTTTACCAATTGTCTCAAAGACATTTAATTCGCTACATGTTTACGAATTCGGCTGTCAGCTTGTGGCACGCTCATCGACATCAATAATGAATGGATGTCCGTGTACACGGTCAATGGCGGGCTCAACAATCTGCGGATGTACCAACTTGTAGATCTAGCGCAAGCTACTACTGCTTGTGTATCGCATTCATCGGTACTTTGGTTTGCAGCGCGTAGATCGTAGATTGCGGTGGATGAAATAAGTCCCATGACAATCTCAAAGCAGAGATCTTGGTGTAGATGGACTTTGCGTCCCACATGCTTTTTGGCGATTTTAAATTGAAGTTAAATCTTTATGAGAGCAATTGAAGAGACATGTCGGATCAACTGTGAGGAGATAGAGGCATACTGAAAATATAGAGAAATAATACGGTAGATCAAGGGAAGAGCACAACTTAGAATAGGAACTTCTCCATCTGAACTGTCTAACCCTCAACCTAGTCCACAACGCAAGACTTGATTGAATGAAAGTAGAAAGCTCTACACACCTGGTCATAAAACATGTTTGAGTGAATAGGATTGTGCCGCTACTTCTATTGTGAGATGAAAGTATTGATTTTTTAATAATGATAATCAAGAAGTTGCAATACACGTTTGACCACAGTCATCATGTCACTAGAACTAATCTCCAGACGTTGCTTTTACACTAAATGTGCGCCTTCCATGTGCGACGAGGATGACGACTCAAAATGTGACATTTTGTCCACATATGCATCGACGAAGTCTGTCTTGTACTGCATCCAAGAAAACACATATTCCACAGCATGCGGCTAGGTACCATCAACTTTTCATAGAACTCGTTCTCCGTGCCCGCTTGCATCACACTGAAAACAATGTCATGAGCGTCTGCTAGTTCTCCTCGGTGAAGCATGTCCGATGCTTTGCCATCATGTTCTTGCAGATATGCCATCAGCAGAACATCTTGTGAACGACAGAAACATCAATCTTAGTCGTTCGCATTAGCGCCAACTCGCGATCAATGACAATGGCGAATGGCAGGTAGTTGCTCATAAAGCCTTTATAAGCATTTAATGCATACTCGTAGTACTCAATTGTCTCTGGTTAGAGAAACGCAATGACCGATGAGAATGTCGTCCTATTTCAAGCAAAGCTAACAATGTGAAGTAGGGGCATCTTGAACATGTTTGATTTGTAGGTGCAATCCATGGTTAGCATTGTTCCTAAGCGACGAGTAAGCTGTACAGCCTTGTTGCTCGTGAAGGGTAGTCGTGTTAGGTGTCCACTAGCATCAACACAATGGGTGTTGGATACATCCAATACAATCAAGAACGGGATCAAAGTTTCTATTGACATCCAGCCGTCAAGCCGCTTGATTATGTGTTGCCTCTTCAAGTTGTATATGTCGCGCGCAATGACGTGCTCGCCTGAGGGTTCAGAACGTATTAACGTCAAGATCTGAGTAGACGCAACACCAACGGCAGACAAAGTCCAAACGTATTCTTTCATGTCGTTGATCATCTAAAGTTATGACAGATGTGCAACCTCACGAGTCAGTGACGGGTGATTGTGTTTTTGGCATTTCACACACAACATCATGCTCCCAACTCAATTACAACGGCCTTGCAAAAGAAAGGAGCAGCCAATTAGGATCGAGCTCAAATGCTGCTGGTGTGTCTTCTCTGTTATACCATGACGATCATCGCGTATACCAGACTTGCCGTAGTGCAGGAATATGATGCCCATCTTGTAATCGGACTGGTTAATGGTCACGCTATAGAGATGAATGACAACATGATGTACGTACGCAACTTTCAAGGTATTGACATCGTCGTAAGTGGCCTCGGGAGGAAGCTTCATGGTGTGGCGTTACAAGAAATGGAGGAGAAACCAGAATCGTGTCGGAGAAGGCGCCTTTGAGACAATTGGCAAAGCCTTGCGTCTTTGCAAGTAATGTAAGAAATCTGAACATTATATTTGTAATTGCCCAATACTTAGGAATCAGCGCGCGTTTCTGTTTTCACCGTTTTCCGACGCCGGGGAAACGTAAAATGGTGTCGGGGATGGATGGGACAATTGGAAAAAAATTCAGCAGGGTGGGAGTACCAGCGTACTAAAATATATTTATACAAGTATTTTTATGTGATATGAAGAAGTGATATAAAATAAAAAAAATCTAACTTCTTCATAAAAAAAACAATGTTTGTGATTTGGAGGTGTATGACCTGGATCATTTTTTAACAACATCATTTATGACACATGCTTATCGTTTATATATAATCAGTTGTTTTGTGGCAGATATTAAAATATTTTGATGTTATTTTAAAGATTACTGTAAATCAATCATAAGTGAAGATATATTTTCACTTTTTTCAACATGTTTAATTCAATTATACATCGTGATAGTCTTAAATTTTTTAGATTATCAAATTCAATAGGTATTGAAATTTAAGTTTGATAGTTTTTTTTGCCAATAATGATCAAAATGTGTTTGTCAGTATGAAATATTTTTCTTGTGAATTGGGTAAGTTGTATTTATTTTCTAATCAAATGAGAGAGATGTTTTTGTGAAGTTGTACATTCATGGTTAGTCAATTTGATGAACAAACGTTGTACTTGAAATATCAAAGTTTGGAGTTTGAGACTAGTTCCAGACTTGGTAATATGAAGCATTGATCAATCATGACAGGAGTTTTAGAGATTTTCCAGAGTCTGATGACATCGCAAAATCAATTTTTGATATGATAAAAAAACATGTATAGACTGTTTGACTTATAATATGTTTGTAGTCTTCAAGCAATACCATCATTCCCATTGTAAGAGGATGAATTCGTTGTACTTCTTATCCATTCACATAGAACAGTCACTGGCAGTAATTTCCCCTTGAGATTCCACTCCTTAAGCATGTTTCGGGTTGTGAGTAGCGATAAGTCGATAACTTATCGCTTCTTCACTTTGCTCGAATTGCTCCTCGTCCAGTTCGGTCGTCCTTGCGCTCATGGGCCACATTGACTTTGGCCAGTTCCTGAAGCGAGCGATGGGTGTGTGCTCTCTTCTGACCACCCAAATTGGTTTCCGTGCCGGATACACTTCACCTTCGTTTGAGTTTTGCACCAACTCAAAAGTATATTCATCTCTTGTACGGTGTTCATTCATCTATACTCAACTGTTGTTTTGATCTCCCTCATCAGTTCTGGCATATGACTGTAGAAGTGTTTGCCTCGTCGCTGTCATTGTTTTTGGCTCCTTGGTCTGTTGGAAGTCCCTCGTCTTTCCCCATTTGGCAAGGCATTTGCTTGAGAGCATCCCATTTACAAGTCAAATATTCTACCCTGTGCCAGCCTGCTGTAATTTCCTCTGCTCAATCTTGGCTGATTTATCTGCTCACCCAATGCTGCAGCATCTTTTATGTCTTCTTCCCCAAATCTGGTGGGCTTCATGGGGAGTGTGTAATGCTCAAGAAACGCTCAATCACTCCTACAACTCCCTTAATCTGATTTTGGAGCACCTTTACATTCATCATCTGACTGAGAAACTGAACCTCTCCATTCTCATCCCAACATCCTGCACTCTCCCCGTATTGGCAAGTAAATACGAGGTGACACTCAAAAGTGTGTGCCCTACTTCCTCCAGTAGTGGCGATTCTTGGGACGTTATGCTACAAGGATTGCCTTCATGAAGGATTGTCCGGACAGCCGCTAGAAATTATGTGGATGAGGAAGGAGATACAATCCGCCAACCAGAGGTTACATTTCCTCTCTTTTTGTATCAACGAAGCGAGTCGATAGTGGAGCACCCTTTAGCTGATAACTGCCTATATGCTCTCCTGATCCGTTCTTGTCTATGCCAGAGGATGGGATTGCCCAGAACAAGAAGGTTGAGGCTTCATTAAGCCCTGGAGACACACACCTTCTCACAAGTCAAGAATCTGCAAAATTTTGTTAGTTGTCGAGCCTCACGGTACGGTGAGGCCAGGTGCTTGCAGCAGCAGCAGCGGACTCCCGGTCTTTGAAACTTGTTGCTAGTGTTTGGTCATGCAACACGTTACGTGCTGATCATAAAGAAGTCGTCCAAGCCCGAAAGCTCTGAACTCTGCCCTGCCACTGTCAGTGAGGACTCGAGTCGACAGGGTAGGAAATTTCCACGATGTGAACTCTGCCACAATATCTTCTTGTTGTCTCTGCATTTAATCTGTCCGTCCCGCCAGCCCGCTAGCTTGGCCGGCTCGGGGTGGCTAATCATGATCATCCCCTTCACTGATGCGATCGAGCAGCCGGAGGTGAGGTTGAGGCATAAGCCTCCAGCAGATCGAAGGAGTTGCCCTGGAAAAGCTGAGAAAGTGAAGGATGTATGTTCGATAATGTTTGAGACTGGAGAAAGCGGGGACAAATTGGACCTATGCATGCTTCTCCGCTGGAGTGGCACCCCTGAGATTTTTTGGTGGTGAGTTGACGTATGGGAGGATGTTCAACAACTGACCTTAGAAGCCAGGAAGATGAAAGCTGGAAAGTGGTCCTTATTATGCTCAGGGACAGACAATGTCAATTTCTGCCGCCATCACATGCGACCTCAAAATCTCTCACTCTGCAGGCATCTATTCTGCTACATCGTTCTGTGGTTGTCCCGGAGGCAGACAGTTCGAGAATTTCGATGACAATCATGAAGAGGGAGGAGAAACAAGCTCCCAAGTGTCTGCCGTCATGAGCTGTCTCTCAGGCAGAGAAATCTCCTGACCACAAATAAGAAGAATACAGCTCAGGATCTTCAAGAGATTTCTTTTCATGGTTTTTCCCAGGAGACTCAGAGGTTTTTCTGATAGAAGTGCATGTTTTGCTGGATCTTTTCTTTTATACCTGATCTGAGGCTCTTAATGATCGGGAAGTAGAATAGGATCCATCTGTGAAAAGCTCGGATGATCATTGCATCGTGGAGTTTGCTTGAGCTGTCAGAATATATGGGCTGAAATAGTGAAGACCATACCCAACATGCACACGTCCTTATCGTATCTCAGGAAAGACTGAAATCCGTTGTCAGGGTCTTCCATTTGCCGTGCCCATGAAAATATCTGCATTCACGCACTTAGTTATATGTATCCAGATTGAGAACACCGGTACATCCTTACTGCAGTCCAGGATTCGGCAATGGAGCGATAACGTTTTATTGTTTAGAAGCGTCGAACTTTTTGCAACTTCTATCCAGAGCACGTTCAGAGGCAACAGCATAAGCTGCAAATACCAGAACAATGCCTACCGATGGCGTTGTCCACTGTGTCGTGATGGGTGAAAAGACACCGCTGAGGTTTAACCGTCGATGCACACTGCACACTAAGCACACTGCGGCATTTGGCAATGCTCCATGGGTCAAGATGTCAACTCTTGACTGGCTGGAACTCGGACACGAACTTTGAGCCTATTTTCAGGTCCAGTTCTAGAAGCAGTAGACAAATCGGAACGTCACTCGTGACAGAGCATGCCGTTTGAGGAAGTGCACGATGGACGGACGATGATGGGTCATTTAGAAACGAAAGGCATAGAAGTAGGTCGCTTCCACTCTTTCGCAAAGCGAATACCAGAAGCCAGGAAGTTAACGAACGAACCAGACGTACAACACAACGTTCGAGTGTCTGCGGGTACTCCACTGTCAGTGTGCGAGAGAGTGGTTGAGGTAGATTCCAGAGAAAGCAAAGTAGAGGAATTTCCGGCTCTGTACCTTTCTGGTCTGCCTCCCTTCTTCGTACACAGCAGTTATCTTTTCCCTGCCGGCTTTCTCGTTGCCTGTTGCCTGATTCGTGGGCAAGGACGACACAAAGTATATTGCACATCCTCGAATCTTCTCTCCTCCAAAAAGTATGCGCAGCCGCACCTCTCAATTTCTGCACATCAGCCGATGTTCTAAATCGCTCTACCTCGTGCAAGTCTCTTCCCACGGTCAACCAGATAATCACCAACGTATCACATGAGGCAACCTACTTTGAAGATTTCCAAAGCTAGGCAAGTAATGGTATAAATACCAGGTCGAGTTAGTTAGACTAGAATGTGGCAGATGGTGACCTTCGACCTTATCACTGGACAATCAGCGCCACTCTACCACATGGAAGTATGTCTAGATGCAACCTAAGCTAGAATACGTAGGTGCGCACAATCTACCGAACCGGACGTGCTAAAGTCCTCGCTTTGTAAGTTGCTCGGTGATCTCCGATGAAGAAATGCTGAAATCTAGACTCATCAGAAAGGATCCAGAGTTGTTATGAGTCCGGTATGCAATAAAATAACAGCGTGCGGTGTGTTGCACCACAAGCATACCTATTGTGGAATGTTGAAGTCAAGTGGAGCCAAAGACAAGACAAGGATCCAAAACCATGTGACTTGAGAGAGAGATATGTTTCTAATCACAAAAGGAGAGTCAAGTAGAAGCACTTTGCCACCGTGCTGTACCTCACGTGTTATCTCAGACGACTCTCCCAACAGTGACCAACGTTGTACGGTACCGGTGAGATTGGAGAGTAGATTCGCTTCGGTTCGGCTTGGTTCCGGTGGGATTCTGGAGAAACGAATATTTTATACAGATACATGCTCTTCTCGTGAGCTGAAGATTTTCCTACTCGGTGGATGCCAGCATCTGGCTCTGTAGTGGGTATAACAACGCCGATCTCCGAGACAGGGAGAGCAAGTACATCTTCATCCCTTGGGCTACAGTCTTCACCGACTTCCAGGATGTGCAAAGTGAGAGCAACCTTTAGGCAAATTCTCTTTCTCACCTGTTCACTGTCACTCCACGGACTCCCCACTTGACACGTGAATGTTGGGAACAGAGGGACAAATTGCTATATTTGTTTGGAACGATATTTGATCTCCACCTCACTGTAACATTCTGAACTCTTCCTCCTCCGATCCTCTTAGCAAGGTTGCCAAAGCTTCTCATACATCTTCCTGCCTGGCGTGCATGTCATCAGCTCAAGCCGAAGCTCGAAGGAGCCGTACATGCGGCTGACCTTTCCATTAAGCATTCTGGAATGCGAACGCAGTATTTTGACCTCGACCGCTTTATGGCAGGTTAAAGCTCAAAAGCTCCAAGTTTCTTATGTGAAGCAGTTGCTTTGGGCCATGTTATGCGCACAACCCAGTGGCGCTCGAGGTCCGGCTCAGAGACTGGCACACAGCTACTCCTTTACCCTAGCTGATCTGTTTTGGCTGCATCTGCTCCAACAGGTGTTACTTTTCATTTTTAATGCTGCACCCTTCGGATCTAAAAGTTCCGAGAACTGTATTGAAGTATTCTACTTTTTGGTTCTAAAGAGCTGGAGGAAAAACTCCCTGACAGGCTTCTATTCTCATCCCCGTCACGCCTGCTGAAGTGCACACTCTACAACAACTGAAGTACACATTCCGATTGTGAGATGCTGGAAGTTGGAAATTGAGGACTTTCCACGATTTTTGCCCTTCTCGAGATCTGTACTTCCTCGAGTTTGGAACGTGCTCATGAAAATCAATTTTGAAAATCAGACTAGTGCAAACTTGCTCCCTGTAGTGGCTTCCACCGTGATGATTGCGGATGATGCCTGCTGACGGGTTTCTTTCGAAGAATGTTGCACCATCTCCGACTGGTGATCTTTCGGAATGTCGAGCTGCAGCGGAATGACGTCCCTCGTGCTCTTGCCCAGGGACGAGAGGCGGACTGACACAAGACCCTCAAGTTTTCTAAACGTTGCAATCCCAGCCCACTCGCAGTTTTTCCTTGGAGCCTAGGAGTATCTCCACGAGGACAACTGCTCGACTCTCCTGAACAGCTATGATTTGTGAACTGCTTATCCGGGCAATTTGTTGACTTTATAATCCATATTAGATCCACTTCCGATCACGACGGGTCCATTCGGGATCAAGGTGAAAAGAATACACATAACACATTCAACGAATGCATGTTATTTGTTCAAAATAATGTTCCCTTTGTGAAGGTCAAATAAATCGGAAACAACTTAAAGCACCATCCTTTTTTTTATACATATGCATATAAACTTAAAGCACCAATGAGTATCTATTAAAGTTCAATAGCATCTTCAAAATAAACAAAATATCATTCATCATCGCCACATTCAACAAAATCGCTGACTTTTTTCACGGTAATGAATGAAGGTCAAAGATATGGCTATACTGGCCATGTAACTAAAGTAGGCAAAATAATTAAAGGATAAAGAATGTCACCGTGATCCAACGACCATTCACGTTCAATTTACACGGGAGTCTGTTCCGAAGATTAAACACGCAGCCACGCTCTCTTTCTTACCACAATTTTTAAAAAACCAATGTCCAATGTCTCTCGAATCAAATGCTTCACTAACCTTCTTCTTACACCTTCAACTTTAATTTAATACACGTAAGTTGAATTCCTTCCGTATCTCATGAATCTATTGGTTAGTCTAGTCAGCGTCTAAATTAGCTTAATTTAGTCGCACCAGGATATTCTAGTTTAGGCGGTGTATAAAACTGGGCTTTATTAAGCATTTAGAGTGCATAAAATAGAGCCATGTGCAATTTGTGGTCAGCAGACCTTTTGTTCATTCAGGTTGTCAATCACCCTGTTTTTTGAATCCTTCTCTGTGTTTCCCCTCCTGTTCAATATTACAATGCTGTTCTCCACAACGGACATTAGCCCAATATGATTTCAGTGATTATCAGCAATCCATCACTACTAATGAAGTCTAATTTGCCATCCTATGAAACTTTATCTATGATTGAACCCTACAGGTTAACTATATCTCCAGCACCCTTATTTGTCTTAATCCGCCAACTCAGGGTGCACCTAGTACATGTCCTTGAATCTTTGAAATAATCCTTGAGGAACAATTTCGGTTCTCTGTAGGTTCTTAACGTGTAAACTTAGTTACAATCAAGGAGGCACACATGTTCTTTTTTAGAGTAACTTGATCAGCATGATTCATACTCAAAGGGAAGTCACGCTTAGAATCTATAGAATATCTCCCACTACTGTCATAACCAACCATGTAACTCCCACAAATAAATCAAGGGTAGCATATGTAGGCGCGCGTGGATTTTAGCGCGCGCGCGCCTACATTACGCAGCCTGTATATACCATACCCATAGGAATAAATATCTCTAAACGAGGCTCTCATGTTCTGATATCAATTGATGTTGAGTAGAAGTTGATTCTCAACCTGGACATAATCTTACAATCAAGAGGTGTAAGTAGTTGGTATACTACGAGCGTTGGAGAGCGTTAGATGTTCATATTGCATTCCATATTTCATAGCTAAAATATAAACGTTTGGAAGAACGGGGATCTCTTTGGCTGTTATATAAGAAACCTGTCACACCCATCAAAAAATCATTTTATCCTGACAAAACCTTCCTAATGTTTTTGTAAATCACCTAATATATAAACCTTCAAACATTACTTACAAATCTGAGAAGCAAGCCATTCAAATATTTAGATGTCAAAGTTAGAAATACATGAAAAGCCGAGATATCTTTTGACTCAAATCGTTTTTGAAAACTTCAAGGATCAAATTCAAGGTGTGTAAATCAAAAAATTATAATGAAATTAAAATAATACTGCACTTATTTCACTTATTCTTAATTGTAACTTTAGTTTTTATAATTTCGTTTTGAAATAAATATTTTTATGCAATCATATCAGTTAATCAATGTAAAATATTTCACATAAATTTATGACGATTTAATATATAAGTTGAAAACAAAAATTTTGTTACATTATTGATGACCTGAACTTGATATGATTACATGTTGAAAATTTTTCAGAAAATCTCACATTTGGAATATACCGTATTCAAGTTATGATTTATTAATTTAAGTTTATGTTATAAGAATATATAATTTAAAATAATGTTGATAATTATTTTTCATGTAACTGTAGTGAAACATACTAATTTTATTTCATGATGCTTTTTATACCAAAAATTTTATGTTTTTCTATTGAATTTTTGTTTAAATAATAAATTTACATGGATTTATTGTGATTATTTAACTTACCATGTTGAAGTTATCAAGCACATGTTTGTCAGAACTTA